CTACACCTTTTTCTTATTTGTAACTTGTTTCTCTGACAGTGAGAAGCCTGGCTGTCATTATCAACAATCTATTTTCTTGGTTTGACCTTAGTATACACAGAAAGTAATTTCAGAATTGCTAACACATACCCCTGTGAGAGAAAAAGAATTACCAACTAGAGAACAGTGTTCGTATAGAGTTCTTCTGGTCTCCAGCCGTACAGCATCCGGTCAGGACACTTCCCCAAAGTTGCTGAGGTCGTCTCCTTTCTCCCCACTGCAGAGCGGTTAGGTGATTCCTTTGTGTCGTTGTGTGTCACAGTCTGCTTCCTTTTTGGGTTCTCCCCACCTCCTGGGCGATGGCTAACTGACTCCGTGCTTTCGGTTCCATTTAGAGAGTTGTTTATCTACCACCCCACTGTCTCACATAATAGCTCCCTCGCCCCCCAATTCCCTGGTCCTGCCTCTTTGCGGTGCCCCCACCCCTCCCCCTGGCAACCACTGATCTATTTTCTGTCCCTATAATATTCTCTTTTCCAGAATTTCACGTAAGTGGGATCATACAATATGTGGGCTTTGAAGTCCGGCTTCCTTCACTCACCAGAACACGTTTAAGACTCATTCGTGATGTTGGGCGATAGTTCGTTCCTTGAATGGGCTTTGCGTGGATATGCTATAGATGAGCATCATTCTTCCAGTCAAAAGACAGCTGCGTTTCCAGTTAGGTGATTGTGAATAAAGTGGCGGTACCATTTTATGGTTCCACCAACAACAGATGAGCACTCCAGGTGCTCCGAATCCTTGCCAATACTTAGTATTGTCAGGTTTTTGTATGTGTTACTTTCTTTGGTAGCCATTCTAACAGGTGTGTAGAGGTATCTCATTGTAGTTTTAATTTGCATTTCCCTAATGACTAATGATGTTGAGTATCTTTTCATGTGCTTATTTGCCATCTTTTATGGGTTGAATTGTGTCCTCCCCAAAGTTTCTGACTCCCAGAATGTGACTTTATTTGGAAATAGGGTCTTTGCAGATGATCAAGTTAAGATGAGGTCATCAGGGTGGGTGACATTGGTGAGAGTTCCATGTCTGTGAGTACCAGTATGGCTGGTGTTCTTATAAAAGGGGATATTTGGACCAGATACATGCACATAGGGAGAAAGCCATGTGAAGATGAAGGCAGAGATCCACAAGCCAGGGGACTCCGAAGATGGCTAGCAGACCCGCAGAAGCTGGGAGAGGGGAGCAGAACAGATCCCCGTCACAGCCCTCAGATGGAACCAGTTCTGCCGACACACTGACTGGGACTTGTAGCCTCCAGAACTGGGACACGGTAAATTTCTGTGGTTTAAGCCAGCCGGTTTGTGGTACTGTGTTACAGCGGCTTTAGCAAACTAACACACCATCGTATATATTCTTTGGTGAAGTATCTCTTTAGATCTTTTACCCATTTTTTTCTATTGTTGAGTTTTAAAAGTTCTTTATATATATATATATCTTGACAGCCTGCGCCAGAGGGCACCTGCGTTACTACCTGTGAACCACATCAACACGTCATCGTCACCCACAGCCCACGGCTTACTGGGTCACCTCAGCTTTGTCTGTGCAGCTTTCATAAACCATGAAGCCTTTCCTTCTGATTTCTGAGTCTGTAGTGTTATTCCCACAACAAGGCTATGCAGGGAGACGGGGAGATGGGGTGGGGTGGGGTGGAAACCTGCTATCACCTTTTCTCTCTGAACTGTCCTTTCTTCATCAGACTCATCCCAGTTTGGCTTAGTGGAAATTCCCTCTGAATCTGGCAGCCTGTTAAATAATGTTACCAGTTTCCAGTGCTGCTAAAATGTTGTGTGAGTGTGTGTGTGTTCCTGAATATTATTCAGAGACCTAGGGAGCCGACGGACGAATCGGGTTGCTAGCTTTCCCCACTGTGTCTTGGAGTCTCTTTAACTCTTGCACAGAGATACAGATCCCTCTGCACCTGTGCTCATGCTGTTCCCACCTTCCCACTTTCCTTGATCTGGCAAGTTCCTACCTACCTCTCAGGACTGAGCTCCACTGTCTTCTCCTTGAGCAAGCCTTTCCTGCACTCCCAGGCTAAACGGTTCACATACACTCTGTGCTGCTATGTCCACACCTGCTACACTGAGTGTTAGATGGTGGGGAGACACTGTTACCCATCTCAGTGTCCTCCGCTCAGGGCAAACTGCCCAGGAAACCCTAGGAGGTGTCTTGTTATGGTGACCTTTGTCCAGGGAGGAGACCCCCCACTGGATCACAGAGGGATCTGAACCCCCAGCATCAGAGCATGGGCCAGGATGACAGCACTGTAGTATTCCCTGACTTTTCATTTGAGTGCATATGTTCTCTGTTAAAACGGTAGGAATATCTAATTACATACAGGTTAACCGAGACAAGACTTTATTAAAAAGCTCTCTTTTCTAGAGAAAATTTGGCGCAGAAATGATTTCATGAAAATTTATTCCTTTATTGACGCTTTATTAATGTTGCATAGAGATATAAAATTCTACATATCCATAATTTTCACTAATAAATACAAATGTAAATAAGAAGAAACTACTTTCAAATTATTTTAACCAAATATTGGATTTATTGTCAATTAAGTATATACTTTGAAACAATTCTAAAGCTACAAAAGACTAAACTTCCTGATAAAATAAATCATATTCTATCATAATCAATCATTTTTAAAGAAAAACCACCCAAAGAGTCGAGTTTCTTGGGCGATTCTCAGCGTTCCCACACGTGGCTCTCTCCAGCTCGCCTGCTGGCCTCGTCCCTTCCCTCCCTCCTGTCCCTCATCTCCAGGCTGCAGGAGGACAATCCTCCCCATCCCAAGCCTGGGGCTTCTGAGCTGTGGCTCTGGGTGCCATAATTAATTAGGTTAATTAATAATTAATTAACCGAGGTCCCCTGAGGATGTCGTCAGAACCGTCACCATGCTGAAAACCACTGCAGGCAGCGCTCTTTCCCCTCTGGAAACTGTCGCTCAAGCCACGGGGGCCCCGCACCAGCCTCTCCGGGCGTGAGGCTCGCAAGGGCAGGACTCTTCTCAGCGGTCGAGCTGCTCCTGAGCTCGGAGCGAGTTCAGGGGTTTACAGTCCTTGCTACAGGCCAGAGAGTGAGGACTGAGTGGCAATGACCCTAACAGGAAAAGGAGGAACCAGGGGCAAAGAGAGACTGAATGACTTACCAACAGCCCCTGACGTTTGCTGAGCGCTTTTACTTTATGGATCACAACGTGTCAGAGGGCCTGATGCTCAAAACAAAATTTCTGGGAGGCGGGCAGAGCAGACATCCTTTTGCAAACGAAGACACGGAGGCTCAGAGACAGCAGCCACTTGCCCAGGGCAGCACAGACACGAACTGCTGTGGTTAGGACGTGAATGCAGCGCGGCCACCTCCACCACCAGACGCCGGCCGGGCACCACGCGGACGCTCGGAAGCCTGGGGAGATGAGCACTCTGGTCCTGGAAGAGGGACTGTATCATTTTCAAGGGTGTGCTAGACAGTGCTCACGCCTTGATAAATGACAACCGGCATGTCAATAACCACAGAATTGGCCTAATTATAAACACAAGGAGAAAGGACAACAGATTGGGGACAAGCTACCAAACAGTATATTGGGCATTAAAATAATTCAGAGGGGAATGTACCTCATTCAACTTTCAGAAATGCACATTAAAGAAAAATCTTGGTAAAAATATCAATACAAAATGAATCTTAAGATCCTGATTTCCTATAAAAAATTTTCCAATTTTCTTGTTTAAAAATTTAAAAACTTGAGGCTGGCCTGGTGGCACAGCGGTTAAGTTCTCACATTACGCTTCTGTGGCCCAGGGTTCATCAGTTCGGGTCCTGGGTGCAGACCTATGCACCACTTGTCAGGTCATGCTGTGGCAGGCGTCCCACATATAAAGTAGAGGAAGATGGGCACGGATGTTAGCTCAGTGCCAGTCTTCCTCAGCAAAAAGAGGAAGACTGGCGGCAGATGTTAGCTCAGGGCTAATCTTCCTCAAAAACAAAAAAAATTTAAAAACTGATTCTTGTTAGCTCTCATAATTTTTTTCCTACTATAAAAAGTTGGTCTTGCCTTTGGAAAACCCACCCGCTGTGAGTCAGCTTCCTTTCAATATGATTTGGTGATCAGAAGGCCTTTACCACGGGAGTGACCTTGCGGAAGAACTGATGACCTCGGGAGTCCGTGTGCTCGAAGACGTAGCCCGGAGGCGAAGGACAGCTGGCAGGGCAGATCTCCCGTCTCTTTGGCACGTACTCTGTGGAGTACATGGTTACGTCATCAAACGGAGCAGAACTCTTAACAGGAACTTGTAAAGGTCTGCAGCTCTCCGTTGGAACCAGTTCATGAGGCACATAGTGACACCTGAAAGTGCTCAAACCCTCGAACCTTCCAGACGGGGCAGGAATCTGCGGCTGCTGCTTGACGGGGCCTTGGCGACGACTCTCCCATGCGGGAAAGTCTTCCTTCATGGTGCTCTTCCCTTGGAAGGGATCACTGTTCCTCCTCCGATGGGACAGCGGCCTGATGGGAAGGACGCGCGTGGCCTGATGGGGAACGTAGTCGAGGTGGCTCGTGCTGTCTGACTGCATCGCACCTGCAGGAGGAACGTACTCCTGCACTTTCCTGACCTCAGGGGGCAGGATTTCCCACGGCTGGAAACTTTCACGGAATTCAGTGCTTCCTTCGAAATGAGCTCTTTGGGTCACTCTGGTGTGTGCAGGTCTGCAGATTTTCGCAGTTTCACCAGCCAGACCCTGAAAGTCACGTCGGTGCGTTGTGAGAACCTCAAAGGGTTGGCTGGTTGGCTTGTAAACTTCTCTCGGCCTTGCGGACTTGACTTCTAGCTGGTAAGGCACATAGTCAAGGCGATGACTGGTGTCACCATCAAAAGGGCATGTGGAGCGTTTGACCACAGAGCTGGGTCTAAAGCTCTGCCTGGGCTTTATCTCCTGCGGAACATAGTCGTCCTGAAATGTGGTTGAATTTCCAAATTTCACAGCAGGGGGAGAGTAAGTTTGTTCTGGTTTATAAAGTTCAGTTTTCTGAATGTCCCAAGCTCTATAATCATCTTGAAAATAATTTTTTTTAAAAAAGAGCATCTTTAAATACTGAAGAAAACAACCATCTTTTAAAAATCATGACTGAGTTCTCTTATTGCCATACACCCTTCCATTTCCTTTAGAAACCTGACCACCAGTCAAGTCTGAAGCTTCTCTGATTCACCTCAGATTTGTTTTTTGCCTCATTCCCACCTTCCTCTTCTTATATCCTCACTTGAAGGCATACAATTTTGCAATTGCAGATTCATCCGATTACAGAAGAAGGGAATGGAACATCTGAGTGCTGAAGTAAACCATAGACTCTAGGGGCTCACATAAAATCAGGGCCATGATGTGTGGGTGAAAGTGACGTGGGCATCATTCCTTGCTTTGGAGGGAGTGCTCAAAGGAGAGAGAATTTCAGCACCATTCTCTCTAGGAAGCCTGCAGGACAGGTAACTCATACTATCTCAGAAAGGTCACTGGCTCTGACTTTTCCTCCTCAGGAAGTGGGTTCAAAGCATTCACAAAACATAGAGGGCCACTGAGGCCAGGAGCGTGGAGTGACGCTCTCAACAGCGTCAGAAGCTGTGAGTAGAGTTCAGAAGTGAGCATCAGAGCTCAGTCTGGATGCATCAAATGCCTTAACTCTGCTCCTGCAGCTTGCCGAGACCACGACGGAAAACTGAAGGGCCTGCACTTCAGCTGCGGGTTATCTAGGTTCTTCTATTTCTAGATGACAAAGGCAGAAAGCTGAGAAATACTACAGAATTGACTTCACCCATAAGTATGTATTTCTAAATACCAAAAGTCAATTTATAAATGACAGAAGTTATACCACATAAAGCATTAGTCTAGAGTCCATGCAGTGTTTACTGGAAAGGCCAAAACTCAAATGTTTATTATGTGGATACTTCCTTTGAAGAGAAAAATTCCTCATCCATGGACATTTCTGCCAAGATGGCCAAGTTTTGGACCAAATGATTGCTCCCACCTCAAGCTACTGACATCTGGACGGGAGTGGAAGCTGCTCCAGGAGCAGGCGCTCCTTAGGCTGGCAGAGACCCATGAGACAGCCTGGCAGGAAGAGACGGGCTGGGGCAAGTGCATTTCCTGTTCTCGTGAACCTAATTTGAAAATACATGGGCGGATAAAAGCGGGAGAAGACTCTAAAAGGATCCACGAAGCAGAATGGAGAGCCACAGTGAGCTGAAGACACCAAGCAGACTTGCAGGGAGACAGGAATGATTGGGGGGGAGGCTGGCGGGCAGAGGGTGGTCGGAGCAGGGTGCAGAGGGAAGCAAGGACGCTGCGGGAGAAAGCACGCGCTCCGGGCAGAGACGCAGGGAGGGGCTCCTCTCTGAGCGTGTGCCTGACGGCTTTCCACTTCTGGTCCATGTGCAGCCTTACACGAGCCCGCTTCCCCTCGAGGCCCACGAAGGAGGCTCCACTGTTTACAGCCTAAAACGTAAAACTGTGACACTATTTGTCAGTAACTAAGAGGAGACCACAGGTACTACGGAAAGTCTGCAGCTCCACACGGACATGCAGGGAGAGCCCTTGCTGACAAGATGACTGAGAGGAAAAGCAGTTTATTTCACAAGTAGAAGAGAATATTCATCCCTTGTAAACCAGGTTTGCTTTTCAAACAGGAAGAATTTTAGACTGAAGGACAAGGTTTGAGAGCGGATGTTAGTGTGAATATCCATTTTGGGAAACTGCAGAGCACTGACTCTCCTCTTGAGAACATGCCTCTGTTCATTGTGGCACCTTCAGGCAGACGCAGTCTTCCTCCAGTGTCAGACGTCTCTAGGACACGACCTGCAGGCTGTTTGTGGCAGAGCCCTCGTTCTAGGGGGACTTCATCTGCTAAGCATCTACTCCCAAGTGAGACTGCGGGATACTTCTCTAGGACCTTTCTGGTCCAGTCTCCTCTCCCACCGTGCTCCCAAACTCAGCCAGCATCCCTCAAGGAAAACTGGCCCAGCACCTGGGACTCGCAGATTCCTCTGTCATGCCAGTCCACGTGGCAGGTGCTCCACTGGTCTCCCTTCCCCCAGTAGAGTCTTCCTGACTCGACGAGTCCACACTGCGCCTCGTCTGCTCAGCGCCCTGTCAGAGTCTCCCCCTCCACTCCTTCCCACTACGTGCAGCTCTCCTCCTGGAATGCACCTCCTCACCCACTCGCCCAGTCAACTGCTTCACATAGCTTCCGGTTTGGCTCCTTCTAGATTTTATCACTGTTGTAACTTTACACTTATTCTGAGTGAGGTTTCTGACTGCCCTGTTCACTAGACTGCGACGTCCGTGAGCACAGAGCTCAGGACCGTTTCGACACCGCTGCACCCCAGGTTCCTGGCACAGGGCCTCACACTTACAAATGCTTAACAGACATTGTTCAGTGGAGGAATGGCAGCAGAAACCACATATCTCTGCTTCTCAAGACACCCGAGGGCTCTCTGCTCTTCCCACTATCACCTGGAGGGGAGCAGGCTAAACACAGTCAGGGAGCGGGAGACCCGGGCACAGAGAGAAAGCTCCAAAGTCTCAGCATCTCTACTAGACTAGTTAAGCATTAGAAAGGATGCCTCCAAACACACAGCGGCTTTCTAGGGAGAAGCAGTAAAGGGTGGACACTCTCTTACTCATCTGACACATCCCAAAGCACATGACACGTCCAGATCATGCTCTCTGGGCTGACTTCTGCCACTCTGGCAGTCAATCCACCACACCATGACTGTAATGCCATGAGGGGTCACGTCCAGACCTGCTCTCCACACCGCCTCTTCCTGGATTACATAAAGTAGAGAATACACGTTGCTGTTTGTTTGTACAGATAAACCAGCTTTCTGCTGCCTAGTCAGCACAGTCAACACAAGGGAGTCAAGCCAGAGTTCCAAACCCTGAGGAGAAAGAAGAGATCCAGCATTGTACTAAGTGGAGAGATGATTATTTAAGAAATGGAAATTTTAGTTTTATTGCACATTTGGACTTTTGGGAGTTGGGACATTTCTTTTTCTTTTTCTTTCTTTCTTTCTTTTTTTTTTGTGAGGAAGATTGGCCTTGAGCTAACATCTGTGGCAATGTTCTTCTATTTTGTATGTGGGACTCCACCACAGCATGGCTCAATGAGCAGTGTGTAGGTCTGCGTCCGGCATCTGAACCTGAGAACCCTGGGCTGCCAAAGCGGACTGCGTGAACTTAACCACTATGCCACAGGGCTGGCCCCATCTTTTTCTTCTTTCTTTCTATTTTTTTTTTTTTTTAAACTATTAAAGTCTATCTGAACAAGTTGACTGAGAAAACCCAGAGTTGAAAAGCAATTGCCTTTCCAAAGAAAAATATGGCAGGTTACGTTTTCCCAATTTTAACACTTAGAACTGGTTAAACACAAAATCTTTATTCAATAAATACAACTATTGTGAAATTTATTTCAAATCTCCATTATGAATCATTAAGGCCTCCGGAAGAAAGAAGTTAAGCCGAAGTAAAAGGAGCAACTATTCCCCTTTGCTCTATCTCAGCGAATTGTTCTATTTCCTCATCTCATTTACTATAATCCATAAGTACCTTGTTTAGCTATCTGATTTTCATTTTGGACTGTCATTCCCACGAGACTATAGACAGAAGCAGGGCGAAGCCCCTCTCCACGCCCCACGTCGTGCCCAGTGAACAGTCCGGTCCCTGACCCACTGCTCTGAGTCTGTGGCAACAGAGTCACCAGCAAAGCTGGTTGGAAATGCAGATTCCTGGGACCATTCCATTATCTACTGACTACCTTAGTGGCGCTCTGGAATCTGTGATTTTCACCCTTCTAGATGATTCTAAAGCACACCAAAGTCTGACGAACGTGGGAAGTCTTCCGATTTGTGGAAGAGGCACACACCCACAGAAGCGATGGAACCTCAGGGGACTGTCACCGCAAGGGCTGCCCGGGTGTCAAAGGCAGAAGCACTGGACTAGAAGTCTGAGGGTCCCCCCCGCTAGGGAGGCAGAGTGGGCTCTTTCTGAAAAGAAATGAAAATCGCTAACACTAAATAAGATGTTACAGCACACTGTTAAAACCCCAAATTATGGAAATCTGATGTCTGAGTTCCTTGAAAGCAGGAACCTGTTTTTATGGATATTGTTATACTTAATACCTAAGACTGTGCCTTGAATACAGTGTGCACAGCAACAGAATAAAGAAAAGAATTAACCCGCTCAACTGACAGAGACAGAGAGAGGTCAGAAAGCTCCATCCACAGGAAGGGTCCAGGCTCAGGGACCCTCATCTACCTCTCACTGAGTGGACACCAAGTCCACCACGTGCTCGCTGGTGGTACTGGGCTCCTGGGAAGGGAGCTCGGAGGTAAGAACAGACGTGGCTCCTGCCCTCACAGATGCTGAGACTAATCTAACGGTAAGAATGGGATGATGCTCTGAGAGCTCACAGGGACTTCCACCTGGCCTGGAGGCTGGGCGAGGGGTCGGAGCAGGTTTCTCAGAGGGTAATGGAGTCGAGATCTACAGCCTGATGGGAATTAACTAGGGTGAGAGGAAGGGAGAATTCCGGGCGGGCAAACAGCACCTTGGAAGGCTCTGTGGCAAGGGAAACCTGGTCATTTCAAGAAGGGAAAAATGTCCATGGGATGTAAGCGTAAGAGTGCAAAGGGCACTGCAGTGAGGATAAGGTAGAGAAGTGCGGAGGGACCGAACCACGAAGGGATTTTGGTGTCTATCAAATACAATGGGAAAGTATAAGAATATTTTAAGCAGGAAGGCGACAGCATCAGACGTGCATTTTAAGAAGATCATCTCGGCAGGCTCAAAAGTACAGAAAATAGATCAGGGACAAAAACTAGGGTAGATACAGATCTAAGAATTAGGAAGCTCCCGCATTCCTCCAGGTAGCGGCAATGGTGGAAGAGCAGATAAATACGAAAGATTTTAGGAGGTAAAAAAATCAATAAAACTTATTTCCCTTTTTCCTTTTCACTTTTTGCCATTCTAACTTAATTCTCACCTTTCTATTTTTCTCAGGTTGTGACTCAACTAGTTTATTGCTTCTTGGATTGGTTCAACTTAAATCAACTAAATAGTTCAATTTATAGGGTTAAAAAAATTATTAAGACCAGAAGAGTTGGGAGAAAAATAAGTAAAGCAAACAGTTTCTCAATATTTACTTAAATGTTGTCATTCCTTCCATTTTACCACGGCCTGCTCGAAATTCCTGCTTGGGCTTAAGACTCTGAGGTGGAAGAGCACTGCCATACGGAGGGTATTTTTCCAAATATTCAGTTGTGGGGCAAGACAGGCCAGCATTTTCATAAATCCTTGTGATTCCATGGGGACAACGATGTCGCCTGAGCAAACATAAACAAACGAAAGATCATTTCCACCTGCAGAACATGCTGTGTGATAACTGCATTTTAATCAGACCTTCCATAAACTCAGCGTCGCTAAGTTTAAGAGCAGCTTTACCAAAAAACGAAAACAAAACCCCTTCTGCTCACTCTGCAGTGGTGTTTACAAACGCCGTGAACAAACCGCGGTGCACCCTCACCGGGTGGACACTCCCGCCTGGCTCTGCCGACACCGGCGTCTCCTCCCACCGCAGAGGCGGGACGGCCGGCAAGTGGACCGCCCGGGCTCCCTCATCCACGTGCTCGCGGGAGGCTGACTCGGAGCCACCGGGAGGGCAGCGCCCCCCGCACGGCTGCAGGACGGCGGGAGGCGCGGGGCGTGGGGCCAGCAGCAGCGTCCCGGTCACAGGCGGCGTCCTGACCCGTGGGGGGCGCGGGGTCCGCCCAGCTCTGCAGTTCCCTGTGGCAGAGGCAGCGCCCCCCCGCAAGGCTGCAGGACCGCGGGAGGCGGGGTCGGCGGGGCCGGCGGGGCCAGCAGCCGCGTCCCGGTCACAGGGAGCCGTCCTGTCCCGACGGGGACGAGGGGTCCGCCCGGCTCTGCTGGTTTCCTGATTGTGGCAATGGCAGCGCCTCCCTTGGTAGCCCAGACCTGCGGTGAAACTTTGGGGCATTTTTCCGGAAGGCTTATCTTGAAACTTTTCTTCCATTCTTCCAACAATTCTGTGAGCTATATATACTACTCCATGCCTAAACTCCTTCATGTCCACAACTAAGAAGCGTGACCAGGACATCAGATAAGCTAAGAGCATGCAACTGTTAAACAGAAGGAGGTTGATCCTTATGCAGGGCGGCTGGAAGACGGAGACGATAAAGTGAGCACATGGGCTGTAGAATAGCGTGTGCAGTGCGCGCTCTCTCTTTGTAAAGATTGTGGATGTAAAACAAGTCTTAAAGAACAATTGTTATCTGTGGGGAATAGGATTATGAGGAATTTTTACTATAGATTTTTATAGTGGAATTTCTATACCATGCCTCATGTATATTTACTTCATAATCAGAAAAAAAGAAGATAAAGCTCTTAACAAAACAGAAAAAAGTAAAATCCCACAATTCCGAAACATAAGGTCAGTTTCTCAGGTCTGGCATCCTTTAGGGACCCCAAGAAGATGAACATGCTCTGTAAAGGAATCGGAACCAGCTAAGAAATCTAGACTCACTGAGCCCCAGGAAGAAGGTCAGAGAAATGAGCGCTGTGCTTGGGGGCTGCTGGCCAGCGCGAAGAACTGCAGTGCCGGCAAGAGTGAAGAGGCGGTGTCACGGGCCGCCGAGAAAATCCAGTCAAGGGAGCTGAGACTCCGGAGGGTCCGCTGAGGCTCCGGAAAGCGCTGAGGTGGTTTAGGGCCCCATGGTCTCCCGGAAACACGGGAGCGGTACACAGGTCAGGCAAGCAGGTTCTGAACAGTGCACTGAGCTACAAGAATCAACTCAAAGCTTTGGGACCTCTCGGTGTTTGTGTTTTATACACATTCACATTGTAACAGATCAAGTCGTGCTGAAGAGCTGGTACAGAAAAGCAAAGCCTCCTGGGCAGTTTCCAACCCCCGGAGGCAACTTCTTCCCAGCTCTGCTTCCTAGTTTTTCCGGAGGCTGCATCTGTAACACTTGTTTATGAGCTCTGAACATCTTGATTTATCAGCTTGAATTACTAACTTTCAAATCCTAACATACTAGACAAAGATTTAATTTATACCACTCCACTCACTTCCTACTGAGATATGGTCATTCATTCCTTTATTCATCCCTGCAGCAAGTATTTAAGGACCAACAACTATGGAAAGGTATTGGGGACACAGTAACAAGAAAGAAAGGGCAAAAAATTCCTTCCCCTCCTTGAGCTAACATCCTACTAGGGGAGGAAGGGAGAGCCAATGAACAAACATATCAGAAAAATACACAGCACGTCACATAATGGTTAAGTGCAGTGGAGTAAAATGAAGCAGGTAAGTGGCACAGAGTGTGGGGTGGGGCAGGAGGGTTGCAATTTTAGATAGCATGACATTTGAGCAAAGATCTGACTGAGAGGATCTTTCATTATATTTGAGCAAAGGTCTGAATGAAAGGGATTTTCATTACATATACCTTGATTACATTTGTATCTTTAAATAATACACTTAGACCTCTTTTTTGATTCCATCAACTTCAGACTGCATTTGTGGACATCCCGCTTTGCAAGATGAGGATATCAGCTCTGAAATACTTTTCTCTGACTTTCTCACTTTGTAAAATGATGGAGCAAAGTATTAGCTCCTAATTATTTTTCTCCAATTTCCCCCTCCCTTTCACACCTGACTTTCTGCCAGCTATACCTTTTTATTATATATTAAAAGTTTAGATTTTATCCTTCAAAACCAAGTTGCCATGCTTTGAACCCAGGTTCTTCTGAAAAGTTGTGACCCTAGTGTTCTGTTTACTTTACCATGACTACGACATATTGTCTACTGCTAGGCGCTCAATGAGTGCAGGGAGCACCTTTTCTGTTCCATGGGGTCAACACCATGGCCCGAAGAGCGCTCAAAGCAAAAGGTTCCCAGCGTCAAGATTAAGGAAACTACATTTCCTTCATGTTATCACTTATCAATACTTAAAAATCATTCTAAATTTTACTTTACTTCATTTCTGAACCATAACTTTATTGTGTAACCTTTAATTTTCCTCAAGTTTCTAGTGCCTTTAATTCCTCATGCGCTGAAGACGTTCACCCGATCGCACCATCTATTTTAGTGAGTCCGCTTTCTTCACGGCAGGTTTCCACAACTGGAGTCCTAACTTTCCCTAGACAAGCAATTTATTTACTTTTTTTTTTTTGAGGAAGATTAGCCCTGAGCTAACTCCTACTAATCTCCTCTTTTTTCTGAGGAAGATTGGCCCTGAGCTAACGTTGTGCCCATCTTCCGCTACTTTATGTGTAGGACCCCTACCACAGCATGGCTGGCTGAGCGGTGCCATGTCCGCACCCGGGATCAGGACTGGCGAACCCCAGGTCACCAAAGCGGAATGTGTGCACTTAACCGCTGCGCCACCAGGTGGGCCAGACAAGCAATTTAATGTTGTAAAGAAGCATTGTTCCTCCCTGCCCTCAGGGGTGAGTGTCAGCTGCCTGTGCTTCACATGGTGGGGGCAGACTGCAGGACATGGGAGGCCAACCAGTGCAGGTGTTTTGGATTTAGACCTCAAATTCTTCCTTCTGTACACACCCTACCCTTCCATCCTCCACTGAACCTGTGCACTTGGAACCGAGTCTCTCTCAAGGCGTTTGGCAGACAGACTCCCAGATGTGCTTCGGAATATTTCCTTCAATATATCTATTTTGGTTTTATCTGTCAGTGTCCCTTCATCTTTTTATATTCCAAAAATCTGTTGAAATTTCATTTCCTAGTTAGTCCTCTGCCCGTTCTACTTAACAACATAGGTTTATTTCTATCTCAGTTTCTATAACTTTATTTCAGTAGATCCTAGGAAAGGAAGAAGAAATATGCTCTTTTTATCTGCCATGAGGAACTTGAGGCACAGACAAGTCAACTGATTTCCTAGCCTTCGAAACATCTCCCTCTGTCTCCTCCCTCCTCTAAATCTCACCCAACCATTCAGAACAGGTTTGCAAAGAAAGTTGGTTGTTACCAAGTCTCAGTTTTCCTAGCATCCCGCAACTCTGTTTCCCAATATAATGTAGCTCTATCACTTAATTCACACGCACAATTGTATCTACACACTGCAGAGAAAATATGTCATGACATGGGTAGTTGCAGTAGCTGGCGTGCCCCTTTAAAACCACGTGTCCTTGAGGCTCCTTGTCTTGGCTTTGCACCAGCACTCATGATGCTCAGTCCTGGGCTTCGCCAACCCGGCTGCTTTCTCGTGGGAGACTTAGCACAGAGACCTTCACAGTCTGAGGGAACATGGAGGCCCTGGGGGGGGGGGGGGCGCTCTGGTCCTTGGAATGCAGGTCATACAGGGACAGTCCCCCTTGGCAAACACGCAGCCTTTGTCTCTCTGCCTACTTAAGCACGATTCTCTCAGGGGGCGGCAGCAGATGCACATTGCCTGTCCAGCGGGCTGCCACTGGACCTTCCCTGTAACTCCCCAGTAAACCTATATGCCTCATTTGCTGTCTCCAGGGCTTTTCTTCAGTCTCTTAACAACCTATCCCACACTGCTCACCCAGCTGGGCGTGTGGCAGAACAGTTGCTTTGACTGATATAGTGAAACAGATATTTAAAGAGTTATGTAGTAAGAAAAAAAAAAAAAAAGATTCAAACAGCAGGACGAAAAAGTAGCGGAAGCAAGTCAAACTTTCCCTGAAGAGGTGTCTTGACAAACTGGATCCTCCTACAGAGAGCAATATATGGAAACAGTAGTGAGTTTGTTCTCCTTGTTCTTTCCGCTCCTTCATTTCAAGAGGCAGTCAGGGCCTTTGTGTTGCCTTGTTGCAGGGCTTTTGGCAGGGCAAAGAGAAAATGCCTGAAGTCAACACGTTTTCATCTTTTTAAAAACCAATTCATGGAAGACACAAAATCAGGTGTCCCTCTGGAGATGAAAGATAGTTGTCTTTTAGGGTCCCAAGAGGAATGGGAAGTCTTGGACTGAAAAAGAGGGAAAGACTGCCCCAGAGGGAGGAAGGAGGTAAAAGATGAGGAGAAAGGATTCTTAGACGACTAGGGATCTTTGCCCCACTCTATATCAGTGTCCCAGGTGGTGGCCAGATTCCAAGAGGTGGCTGAACGGAACCCTACAATAGTAGCTTTCAGCTTTGCTAAAGATTCTCGATCTCTAACATTATCCTGAAGGGGGGCGGGGGGGGGTGGGGCGGAGGTGGCACCACTCCTGAAGCGATTATGCGAGCTTCAGCGAGACGTGGTGGGAAACATCAGCACCTTTTACAGTCTAGAGGGGACGCCTGTGCTGGCAGAGCCTCAGCTCCCTGGATCACCACGTGCTGGAAGAAACAGGAGCCTCCGACATAATGAAGACTGAACTTCCTCACAGCTGGATGGGAAAGGAACTTGGACTGGACATAAACTAATTTAAAGATTAGAAAAAAATTAACTTTCTTGCACATCAGAAGTTTTGGATTCATACCTAAATATTAATTTATCTTCTAATCGACATCTAATTACTACTTGTAAACAACGTTTATCACGCAGCTGGGGGAAACTGCTTTCCGTCCACACGCGTCTTTCCTCCGGAGAGGATGCAACAGGGGAGGACGGGCGCCCCGGTCCCGGCCGGCGGCGAAGCTGGGGAGGGGGCGGCGAAGCTGGGGAGGGGGCGGCGAAGCTGGGGAGGGGGCGGCGGGCGGCTGTCGGGCAGGACGCGCAGCCCAGCTCCAGGAGGCAGGGCGCAGACGCCACCTTCTCAGCGGCCAGATCCGAGCATGCGACCGGAGCAGGGACAGGCTCGGCCGGAAACGGCGCTGGAGGAGGGCGCGGCACGCAGGGGAAGCGCGGCCTCGCCCCTTTCCTTCCCTCCTTCCCGCCGTGTTCAACCTGCGCAGTGCGCTCCCCGGGCGGGTCAGCCTCAGCTGGCTGCGCACACCACCCGCCCGGCCGGCGGAGTCCAGTCCGCACCGGCCAGGGCGTCTACACTGCGCACACCACCTGCCCGGCCGGGTCCGCCCCGGTCAGGGCGTCTACACTGCGCACACCAGCCGCCCGGCCGGCGGAGTCCGGTCCTCACCGGCCAGGGCGTCTACACGCGGACACGGTGACGCCGCGGCCGGCGGGCGCAGCCAGCGCTCGTGACCCGATGAGCGGGGCCGCCGCCGCGCCCGCGCCCTCCGTCTCCGGGGGCCCCTCCCGGCCCCCTTCTTGGCCGCTTCCTACGGCGGCACCTCGGCTCCCGGTTCCTGCGCGCCCGCCGTCGTCAAGGCGACCGCGGCTTCCGGGCGTCAGGCGTGGCGCCGCTTCCGGCGGCGATAGGGACGCGCGCAGATCAACGGTCGTGCGCCGGCCGGCCCCGCCCCGGCGCGGCGTTGGGGACGCGCAGAGCTTGGCGGCGTGGAGGCGCGTGGTGTGGCGGCACGGCGGCGGGAGCTAGTGGTGCGCGTGGTGCCTGCGTTCTCCGCGGGCGGCGGGGCGCGGGTCGCTGCGGGCGGCGGGGCGGGACTGGCGGAGCCCGGCCGGAGGCCGTTCTCTGTTGGGCCGGGCCTCAGGGGCGCGGCTGCGGGCCGCGCGGAGGGCGGGGGTGTGGGGTGGGTCCCCCTCGCCCCGGGACGACGGGAGGAATACCCTCGTGCGCCTGCTCGACGGGAAGCACGGGACCCGGAACTGGGTTCGGCGGCCGAGAGCTCCGAGGCGGCCGTCACTTCCGGTGGAGGGAGTGGGCATGCGCGGACTGGGCCTGGGCAGGACCGGGCTCAGCATCCTCCCTCATCCCGCCCAGGGACCTCCCTACGCGCCCCGTCCTCCCTCGGCAGCGCGGGATGGGCGTGTCTCGAGCCGGGCGGGGCCGGGCGGGGCCGGGCGGGGCCGGGCGGGGCCGGGCGGGGCCGGGCGGGGAGGGCAGGGCAGTCTTCACGCCCCCACCTCTGGCTCAGGTGCCTTCGTCAGGAGCTTGATCTTCCGTCACGGGAGGTAAGCGACCATGGTGCTCGGTAGTTTGGACAAGATGGTTCAGCTCCAGAAAAACACCGCCAACATCAGGAATATCTGTGTTTTGGCTCACGTGGACCATGGTAAGAATCCCTTTTAAAGGCCGCCTTTCCGGGGACTGAGGGGCGTGTCTCTACCCGTGTTAGAGGAGCGACGCCGCGGGCGGTCGACAGTGATGGTCGCCGAGGAGCGAGTCTTATTTCCTTTACAAGTTTGATGTCAGAAGCTCGCGGGAAGGCGTGTGAAATGAACAGCTACCTAGTGGTTAGCGTTCTTCTGTGTCGTATACTGTACTGTTTTTAACGCGACCTTGAGTTTTTGTTAAAAATCTGAAGTTTTTTTGAAATGGCTTTGTCATAGGAAAAGCCTGTAGTCTTGACATAATGTTTTCAGAACTTATGTTTTGTGGTTCTGTTGAGCTCAGCAGGGACTTAGTGAATATCTGCTCGGTTAAGGTATTCTGCTGGGTGTGTCGGAAGGTACAGACTTCTGAATAGGGCGTCAGCCCAGCTGTAGAGGAGACGGGGGCTGAGGCGGGGCAAAATGAGGCAAAAAGTAGACTGCCGGGGTCGGGAGAACCGGAGGCTCCGGAAGCTCGGCGTGGGTCAAGGAAAGGCGTCCCAGCATAGTTCGTCTTACCGATGACCCTGGAAGGGGAACCAGGAAGGCAGTGGAGACCACATTCCAGGCGGGAATCGTGTCAGCAAGGGAGGAGGGAATGTGTGAGACCGCAGCGCGGGACAGGGAGGGCAGGGTCGAGGTGGGGCAGATGTGGCTGTTACACCCAGACGTTGCTTCCTGCTCAGCCGGCTCTTGGCTTCAGGCTGCTCAGTTCGGGCAGCCACAGCAGGGTGCCAGGAGTGGGTGTGTGAGAGGAAGCCTGGTCCCCGTGCTGAAGGTGAGGGAGTCGCAGTTGAGGATGAAGAGTTGGGCGGGCGCGTCCCACAGAGCCTTCATCCTGGTGAGCTCTGGGATGGGGCTCAGTGTCCCGCTCTGCAGCCAGACCACCTGAGTGCGGAGCTCTGTCTCAGGTTCCTTTGCTCCTTGGCTCCAGTATCCGGCATCTGCTAACTGGGACAGAAACCGTCGCTGCCCTATAGGCCTGTGAGGGTTAAACGTGATGGTAGAGGAAGTCCATGGCAGGTACACGCTTCGTTATGAAGACAATCATTAACATTAATCGTTAGGTACTAGGCAGCCACTGGGAGAACAGAATAAGTGCGGGTGTTGTAATCAAATCAGACGTTACAAAGGGCAGTCTGGTGAAAGTTTAGGATGAACTGAAAGGCAGAAAGGAGGTTAGGTGGCTGTTGCCTTTGATAAAATAGCTGAAGTGAAGAAGTATGGGAACTGAGAGGAGTTAATGGGTTGCTTTATAGGTGAAGCTGACTGAGAATGTGTGTCATACAAATCCAGTGACCGACCCTGCCCCATGAGTTTTTCTAATTATGCTGCTCACATTTTGAGGACATGAGGTTCGACAACAGTATTTTTTTGCTTTGTGAATTAAATCGTGTGGCAAGTCAGTGGCATGTGTGTGTATAACAAATTACTTTTAAATTTACTTTTTAAAGTTATGTTAAAATAGTACTGTCCTGGAAAACCTGTCATTTGTTTATTCATTCAACAAATGTTCATTGAGTGTTTCTTACATGCCAAGCATTGTTCTGGTCCTGGAGGTACAGCCATGAATAAAGCGGAGTCCCTGCTTTTGTGGCGCTTGCTTTCCAGGGGATCTGTGCTTGCCGTGCTTGGAGTGAGTTCTCCCTGGGGTGGCAGGAAGGCGATGCTGTGGGCTTGTGTGCTGACAAGACATTTGCGTGGCGCACAGGTGACACAGTGTTAAAGGTCCTCAGTGCTCCTGCTGATTGGTCTCTGGTTTGAAGTATTTCACACAGATTCCATAGCTTTGCTAAAATTCCTAGGCTGCAGTAGACTTCTTTGTTCTGAGGAAAAAACTCTCCTTTTGTTACTCCAACTCTCAGCTGCAGTAATTGTATATACCCCCAGCGTTCTCTGAACAAAGTTACCTGTCTGTACCACTTGAAATTGTGTCGACTTAATAAAGGTGACTATAAATGTGTACTTGAGTATACAAAGAATTTCTTTTATGGTAGAGCAGACTCCTAGGTCTCTGTGTGGATACTGGGTAGCATCAGTAGCTGCAGTGTAGCCGATGCCCTCCACAGGCGTACAGACAGTGGGAGATAGGGTAAATTTCCTGAATTTCTTTGCTAAGTAAGTATTTTTCTTGAGACAATTTAACTGGCAAATGCCAGCTAATGCCATACGAGGAAACATGGCAGAAGATTATGTTCTGTTTCTTGGTGCTGTTTTACCCAGTGTACTATTCAGACACAGAAATGATTGCTGTGCTGTCCTTTTGTCCTTCTGAGCTATTATGGGTTTAAGTTTATAGGTGTGGTCACCACTATGGATATCGGATGATTGATGTAATAGTTACCATAAACTTGATCAAATTCTTGCAGGACTGATGTGAGTAACTTTGTAAAAGTCGTTTGTCAAGTGTTCTGTATTTTGATTGGCACAGTGGTTTGTCTCGTCATGTAAGAGTCTGTGCATTTTACTCGGTGTAAATTATGCCTCAATTTTTAGAAAAGTTTTGTGCTTAAAAAAAAAAAGTTGCTTGTCAACTTTTGAGATGAGGTTGATGCGATCCACAAGGGTTGGAGACGCGTATTACAGCACTGTGGGGCGCTGGGATGTGTCCTTCCAGATGCTGTTCTGTTTAAAAGTCTGATTAACTCTTTAAAACGCTTGTTATGTCTTGCATCACTCAGTATAGATAAATAGGAATTCTTTGCTAAACCATTTCTCAGATGTTAGATCTGTAGATACAATCCATCTCCCCCTTAAAGAAAAAGGTGGGGGGCAGCCTGGTGACACAGTGGTTAAGTTCACACATTCTGCTTCAGGGGCCCCGGGTTCACCGGTTCAGATCCCGAGTGTGGACCTGCGCACTGCTCAACAAGCCATGCTGTGGTAGGCGTCCCACATATAAAGTAGAGGAAGATGGGCATGCATATTAGCTCAGGGTCATCTTCCTCAGCAAAAAGAGGAGGATTGACAGTGGATGTTGGCTCGAGGCTAATCTTCCCCCCCCCCAAAAAAAAGAGATTTGAATTATATTGTTATTTTAACAGGAAAAACGACTCTGGCTGACTGTCTCATATCTAGCAATGGGATCATCTCCAGCCGCCTGGCAGGCAAGGTATGTTGCTGTATTAGATGAATACTTGCTGCATTTGAGTAAGCTTTAGCTGTCTACAATGTGATAAACCATTATCTATGTTCTTAGAGATCCAAGAAAGTATATAGCATAGTTCATGCATCTAAGAAGCTGTCAGTCTTTTTAGCAAGATAAAACAGGTGTTGAGAGGGGCCGGCCTGGTGGTACAGTGGTTAAGTTCACATGCTCCACTTCAGTGGCCCAGAGTTTGCTGGTATGGATCCTGGGCGTGGACCTACACACTGCTCATCAAGCCAAGCTGTGGCAGCGTCCTGCATAGAAGAACTAGAAGGACTTACAACTGTGATATGCAACTATGTCCTGGAGCTTTGGGGAGGAAAAGAAAAAGAGAAAGATTGGCAATAGATGTTAGCTCAGGGTCAATTTTTCTCAGCAAAAAAAAAGTTGAGAAAAATTATTTACATATTGCTCTATTTTTATAAGTGTAAAAATGAATTTTTGCAACCAGGCAAATGATAGCCTGGCATGATTATGGAAGATTTCACTGAGGAAGAGATTCTTCACAGCTGGATGAGTTGGGTGGTTGGAGGAGAAAGCAGAGAAACCATCAGATGGGGGAAATAACATGGGTAAAGTGGATGAAGGCTAGTTTGTATTGTTGTGCTTGATTTGAGTGGAACATTTGCCTAGAGACTACTGAGAGAGCACGTGTGCTGTAGGGGGAGTGCGTCAGCTTATGGAAACCTTGAAGGCAACCCAAGAACCCAAGGAAGGCTTCTGAAGCCTGAGACTTAGGAAATGAAATTAAAGAGATCTTTGTTTCTATCTGTGACTTGAAAGAACTTGGAATAACTTATTTGCAGTAGAAAAATAGAGATATTTCTCTCCTTAATGAATTTAGGATATAATGAGCGGGATTTATCAGATAACTGGGAATAGAGAGAAGAAGAGATGGAGCGGCAAAATTGGATCATGTAGACCTAGGAGACTGTGGGAAGAGTTGGACATTTGAGGCGGGTTGGCTGGGGAACTGGCACAAGATGGTGTCTAGAGGAGGCCAAAAAAAACCGGGGTTGAGTGAAATAAAGTGCTTACATTTTTCCTACTTGAGAAATTAGAGTACAATAACTAAAGTAAGTAGTGAAAGTAAATAAAGCACAAATTAATGCAGTGGAAAACAAACGTTTTATAGAAAAGATCAATGAAGCCACAATTTGTTCTTGGAAAAGACTAATACAGCTGACAAATATGATACAATAATGATGGACATGATATTCTATGTTTAAAGAGTGAACCCTACTGTAAACTATGAACTTTAATTAATAATAGTGTATTGATACTGGGTCATTAGTTGTAATGTGTACTGCACTACACATTCATGCAAGGCGTGAATAATAGAGGAAACTGTAGTGGGGGAGGGGTATTTGGGAACCTGTATATGCTCCAATCAATTTTTCTGTAAGCTTAAAATTGCTCTAAAAAGATAAAGTCTATTAATTTTAAAAAAATTACTGGCACTGTAGACAATTTATGATTATCATGTGATACAACTCATAAATATCTAGCAAAATTGATGAAGTGAAAAAGAAAAGAGGAAGGAATACATGATACTAGGAAAGAAAAATCCTGCAGCATAAAAAGGTAATAATGGGACATAATGAACAACTTCATGACAGTAAGCTTAAAAGTGGAGAAATGGAAATATGTCTGGAGCACTGTAACTTAGCAAAGTGGAGTCAAGAAGAAATGAAAACATGAATAAATCTATCGTTGTTTAAGAAATTGGATTGTTGGCAAAAATTTTTCCACAAAGAAGTCCAGATGGCTTAACTCTATAGTTTTACCAAACCTTTATGAACCATTCCAAAGTACAGCAGAGGAAAAAACAGGGACTACTCTCCGAATCATAGGAAGAGGGCATAAGCTTGATCCCAGCAGTCTGTTAAGGATGATACAAGACAGGAACGTTATGCCATAACCTTATGGTTGTAGGTATAACAGAATCTGGAATTGTGTAAAAAGTTCTTCATAAGTAAATAGGGTTTATCCCGAAGAATTCAAGATTGGTTTGCTGTCATTTCACCATATTAACAGATTAGAGGAAGAAAATCATAATCATTTCAGTAGATTCAGAAGACATTCAATAAAATTCAATATTCTATATGATAAGACCTCTTAGCAAAGTAGGTTTAGAAGAGAGTTTCCATAATCTGATACAGAGTCTACAGGAAGCCTACAGTGAAGATTGAGCTTAACGATGAAGTGTTGAAACTTTCTATTTGTATTCCAGAATAAGGCAAGGGTGGCTTTTGCACCCTTCTGGTCATTGTGTTACAGCTTCTGTTTTACATTCCACTGGAGGTTCTAGCTGCAACAAAAAGGCAAGACAAAAAAAGTATGAGTTTTGGAAAGGAAGAAACAGCTACATTATTAATAGATGACAAGACTGTGGGAAACTCAAAGAGTATACAGATAAATTGCTAGGATGTTAATAAGAATTTAACAGGTTTTAGGATACAAAAGTCATTGAAAATAGAGTTTATACATGAGCAATAAATAGAAAATATAATTTAAAAATGTATATCACTTAAATAGCATTAAAAGTGTACCTGTGAGATATTGGAGAAAACTTAAATAAATGAAGAGATATACCATGCTTGTGGATTGGCAGACTCAGTATTGTTAAAATCACAGATTTTTTTCATGTTGATCTATAGATTTGGCAGTTCCAGTAAAAATTCCAATATTTTCTTTTTTTATTTGAACTTGATATGCTGATTCTAAAATCCATACACAAGAGCAAAGGGCCAGTAATAGCCGAGGCGTGTCTGAAGAAGAGTAGGGTGTGCAGTGTGTCTTACCAGGTGGCAAGCCTTATTATGACTCTGTTGTAACTTGTGTTTTGCAGTCAGCTGAGGGGTAAAATTGATTGATGGCCCAGGATACCAGGCCTGGAAACAGCCTAATTTATCACAGACCTGGCATTTCAGGTCTGTAGGGAAAAGCTGAACCTCTCTGTACGTTGTCCGTGGACAGTTGGTTATCTATGTGGGAAAAAAATTGGACCTCTATTTAATAGCACACACAAAGATCAACTGCACATAGTTAAAATACTTATATGTGAAAGGCAAAACTGTAAAACTTTTCGAAAATAATATAGGACAATACTTTTATGTCTTTAAGGGAAGATTTCTTACACATGACAAAAAAGTGCACACCATTATGTGAATGTTTGATTGGCTCAACTACGTTAAAACTAAGAACATCTGTTTATCAGAAGATGCCATAACAAAAATGAAGAGACAAGCGTGGTAACTGGGGGAAAATATTAATAACACACATATAATTGACTAAGGTCTACTATTTGAATACTATAAATAACTCCTATCCAAAGCAAAACAAACCTGTGATGCAACCATTAAAAAGATGGAGAGGGGCTGGCCCCGTGGCTGAGTGGTTGAGTTCGCGCGCTCCGCTGCAGGCGGCCCAGTGTTTCGTTGGTTCGAATCCTGGGTGCGGACATGGCACTGCTCATCAAACCACGCTGAGGCAGCGTCCCACATGCCACAACTAAAAGGACCCACAACGAAGAATATATAACTATGTACCGGGGGGCTTTGGGGAGAAAAAGGAAAAAATAAAATCTTTAAAAAAAAAAAAAAAAAGATGGAGAAAAATCATGAACAAGAGACTCACAGAACAGGAATGCCAAATGGTAATACAATAAACTCATAAAAAGGTACTCAGTCCCATTAATAATTGGAGAAATGTAAATTAAAACCTCAAAATGCTCTTTATCATCCATCTGATTTAAAGCATGAAGTCCGACGGTATTGAGTGTTGCTGAGTTTGGAGGCGACAGAAGTGCTGTGGCACTGCTCAGAGCATGGGGTAGTCCAGCTCTTGTAGAAAACAAGTGGGAGCATCGAGTAAGGTTGAAGATGTGCACATTTAATAACTCAGAAATTCCATTCCTGGCTAGTGTACCAAGGGACACACACCTGACTGGTAATAGCAGCTCAGTTACAGTTACAAAAAACTAGAATCAGTCTACATGTCCATCACTAACAGAACAGATGAATGAGGTGTGGTGGATTTGTGTGGTGGAGTCCTATGGTAATGAGAATCGATGAACTACAACTACATCCATCAGTGTGGATGAATCTCAGGAATATAGATCAAAGACAAAGTGACAGAAAAATACATAAATATATGTGTATTTCCATTTATATAAGGCCCCAAACCTGCAGCTCTAAGTGATGTGTTGTTTAGTGATACTCTCAGTTTTTAAAATTATAAAGAAAACAAGCGAATGAACAAGATAAAATTCAGGATGGTGGTTACCTCTGAGCCGGGGGAGAGGGGAATTCAAAAGTAACAGAAACCTTTTTTTTTTCCTTTCTTAAGTAGGATGGTGCATACGCAGATCTTCATTGTCTTGTTATTCTTCATGCCTTATACATGTTTTGTATAAATTCGGTCCTTAAAAACACACACCTAGAGAAGAAGAACAGGGGGCTGAGAGTTTTGGAGGAAGGCCCGTGAGGTCGGAGCGGTGCAGGGGAGCCAGGGGGGATCTCGGGGGAAACAGGAAGGAAACTAGGAGAGTCCACGCTCCTGGAGGAATTGCACGCGCACACGAGGGTCATCAGCACCTCTATGCCATACCACACCAACATCGGGAGAGCAGAAGGGACAGCTGTGTCTGGCCGCAGGTTGTTGGGAGCTTTTAGGAATTTGCTTTTGCCTGAGCTGTGGAAAGGGACCCTTTCTGGAAGTTGAGGAGTTAATGTGGGTGAATGAATGTGGCGATCCTGTGTCGGTGAGTTCTTCTCAAGGCTTTTGAGTGGAACAGATGAGTGAGTGTGAGGTTAAGAGCTTTTTGGGAGTTTGGCAGCAGAGAAATAGGTGGGCAGGGACAGGTCCTTCTGGGAGGGAGGGAGTCAGGCGGTGGGCAGGGCTAGGCTGAGCAGAGCCGGGAATGAGGGGGGTGGGCGCAGACCTCTGCGAGCCTTCTTCAGCCAGGTGCTCATGTGATCGGAGCTTCTGCTGTGCCGCTCTTTCCTAAAACCGAGTTTAAACTGTGCTAATTTGGGAAAAGGAGTGAGGACTTCTCCTGCCTCTAGAGACTGTCTGTTTCCATGTCTGCTCAGACTTTGTGGAACAGACTATGAACAGGGAGAGAAGGGCCGTGTTCTTGGTGAACAGAAGGAATTTCCCCACTTGCTGAGTTGTTCGTGGACTGCCCACTCCCTCATGGCTGAAAGGGGCGTGAGCAACGCTCTGGGGAGGGTTTGCATTAAGTGTGTGATACATTTGCAAAGTGGGAATGTCCTTCAGGTTGTCTGTTTCTCTTCCCCGACAGCTTCCCTTCTCCAACTGCACTCCCTTTAAAAAAATACAAAAGGCTTTTTCGTTTAAAATTTAAGTGTTTGAAGTAAATGTCCAAATCATTCCCTTTTAATGTTGTATTTTAATTCATTGGGCAGTAAGAATGCATGTGCTGTATTTTTACAGTTAAGGTACATGGACAGCAGAGAAGATGAACAGATCCGAGGGATCACTATGAAATCCAGTGCCATTTCACTCCATTATACAGAAGGTAAATCAGTCTGTGTCTTTAAGAAAATAATTCCGTGTCCTTTCTCTTCCTGAATTAATTGTGTGCCTCGGTTTCTTTGCTTTATGTTCTGCAAATTTCCTTTTGACCTCTCCAAATGATCTGTTGTCAGAGTCCAGCTGTCCAGACCTGGATGCAGATGGGGATGGTTGACTGGCCTGAGAGCAGCGCTGGCCGTTCACCCCTGCCCCTGTGCACCAGGCGATGGGATGGGTGTCTTCCTCAGGAAAGTCAGAGTCCTAGGGCCTTGCTGGTTCAGCCCTAGTGCTCCCTTTCCTGGCTGGTCCTGCATATTGGGTTTAGAGTCTTAACTTACCTGTGGGTTTCCATGATCCTTAAAGCTTGCTGTCCCCAAGTCAGAATGTCATTTTGACAGTAACACTTCTAGGAATTTATCTGACAGAAATCGTCATACAAATGTCATACAGAGTTCTACCTGTGAGATAGATGTTCATTGATATTCACCGAAAAGTCTGTGTTAGTGAAAAAATGCCAACAACCTTAATGTCTGTCCTTGGACAGTGGTTAAGTAAACCTGTACCACTGTGTTGTGAAATGCTGTGCAGCTGTTCACACAATTGTTTGATCTACATGTAATTATATAGAAAAACATGCTAAGAGACAAAAAGCAAGTTGCAGAGTAAATACTTGTAAGATATGAATGTTTTGGTAATAAAAATACATTATGCATGTAGATAAAGATGTCTGGGAGGACACACACCAAAATCTTAACAGTAGTTATCTCCAGGGGCTGGATTATGCGAAACTTGCACTTTTCAAAATACTTATTTTTTTGTACTGTTTGAAAATTTTACACAAAATGTGTGTTTTTGCAGTTAGAAGAAAATAGTAAAGATATATTTTATTCCCCTATTGGCCTGACCTGTGGTTTGTCCTTCATAGTGTCGTTATCTCTGGTGCTGACACCAAGGGACACACCCTGTGAGGCATGACGGTTCCCTTTGAGGGGAGTCTTGGAATTATTTTTGTACTAAACCAGTTTGAAGCTCTCAGGTACATGAATTCTCAGTGTTTAATATTGAAAGTAATGCCTTGTTTTTTAAAACTACCTTACATTGTAAAGGGTCCGTCCTCCTTCTGTGATCCAGCGAATGGGTCAGTGGTCAGTTTCTTTCTCTTCTCTCCTTATTTTTATAGACTTCAGAAGATCTGTCGCTGTCTTTTCTCTATACTCACATCATTAGTGAGTTTTTATTTGAAGATTCCTCTAGTGTCAGTTTTAGTTGCTCTCTCTGCACTTTGGCTCCAGTTCCCCCACCCCTTTGTTTAACTGTCTTATTAAGGTTTACGTGGCATTCACCTGTTCCAGTTCACTTTCGTCTTTCTGGTATGGGACTGAGAGAGAGGGGCTCTAGGACCTTGGGGACTGAGGGGTCTCCCATCTGTTCTGTTGGACTCTGATCTTGGGCATCTCGATCTCAGTTTGCTTTAGATAGGCTTTCTTGATTGCACAGAACAGAGACTTAAGCCAGCTTGGGTTGGGGTGGCTTATTGAAAGAATATGCGTGAAATGATATTGGAAACAATATTTAGGAAAATCAAAAAGCAGAAGCGCTGTTGGAGTGACGTCTCATAGAAATTGAAATCACCTGTCGATTCTGGACCCAAGATTGCCATAGAGACCATCAGTAAAAGTTGGACCTTCCATCTGGAACTCCACTGCTGTCTTTGGGTTGAGTTCTGTGTTTTTCTCTCTCTTATTACCCTATAAGCCTCTTCCTTATCTCATAGCTTTTGCCTGCTCTTAGTGTCTCCATGCTCATAATCCCACCTTGCCCTGACCCTTCTTCTCAACTCCTGTTTTTTCGCCTTATTTCCATTGCTTACAGCTTCTTTCTCTTGTGTTTCTGAGCATACGCTCTTAAGAGCAGGACATGGCCCAGCTCGTCTCCTTATGCCAGACCATGGCAGAGGTTGCACCTATGGGTTGGCCACCCCCGGGTTAGATGGTCACCTCCCACTCTGATCAGTGGTTGTTGGAGTGGTGTCATAAAGTGTCACAGCTGTTTCTCCGTGAGCATGACTGCACAGAGGGGCTGTGGTTAGGCAATTATCACACGCGACAATTGGTGCAGAGCCTTGCTTTCCACGTCTGCAAAATGGGGATAGAAGTTGGGGATGTTGACTGAGAGGTATGCTCTCAGAGCACCTGAGAGAGGAGGTATATTCTTATCTGTCTCAGTACTGATGCTCTGGAGGGGGTGTTTCCTGCTGTGAAGGTGGGATAGTCTGAAGGGGAGCCCCCTTCTGGAGGAGGGAAGCCTGCAGGTGGAAGAGACTCTACAGGTGGATTTTGTTCACCATGTCTTCCCCTCCTTTCCGCCTCCTTCCAGATGCTCTCTGACTTGAGAATCTCTGTACTGAATGTTAAGTAAGTCCTTTCTGCTTCTGACTCCTAATTTTTTCAAATCCTTATTTGGATTGAAAGATAAGGTATTTTTCTAGTTTAAGGTAAATAAGCTTAGGAAAACCATGCATTATTATAGAAATGATGTTGAAAACTATCAGTGTGATACCCTATCTTAGCGTTTTCCAGGGGCCTAGTTCTTCCTTGAGAAAATACAGCCTCTCTCATCTTTACATTTGTGACCACAATTTTGCTACAGATGTTGGGACCATATTGTTAAACCTTGTTATTTTCCTGTTTCTTACCCACCTCTTTTTGTGCTCCTCCACAAGGATATCATACATTTATCTGATCATTTCAAGAGTTAGGAAATACACCCAAGAATACACATTTTGTAAAAAATCCTAAGGGGATATAATACCTTAGAATCCTTTAGTCTAGAATCTATTCAGATGGTTTGAATCATTTGAAATTCATGGACTATTCTTTGAATGATCTCAAAAGGCATATTGCTGTCATTTCTACTCTGTAGCCATTCTTCATACCACTGAGCAAATAGTGCCATTGCAGAACTTCTGAAATGGACTTTTCATTCTAATTTATCTTTTTAAAAATTTTAAATTTACAAATTTATGTTTACTATAGAAAATTCAGTATGTTATAGTATATACAGTAAAACACAAGAATTAAAATCATTCCTAGTTTCACCACCAATTGTTTTGTTTTCAATTTTTATATTTAATCCAACCATAATTGTGCATGTGTGTGTGCACGCGTACAAGCTGTGAGGTAGATATCTAACTTAATTTCCCCCCAGTAGTTAACTGCTTATTCCAACACCAGTCACAGGTGATTGTGAAGTGCTGTATTCTTAGTTCTTGGTGTGGTGTTGGCGTTGACCTATACGTGAGGGAAGCAGTCTGGGGGAGCTGTTAAGGGCTGCAGAGTGAACTATGCCCACCCTTTGAAACACCCTCTCCACTCCTCCGGGTGGGGGCAAGTGCCATTCAGCTCCAGCTGATTGATGCCTGTGGAAATCGGTTTTTTCAAGAAAAGTTGACGTCGAGATTTTTGGTAAAATCTTCCAGTTTTTAAAATATTGACAACTTATTTAAAAATTGTTAAATACCACGTAGAACAAATCGCAGTGGGCTTTAACCTACAGACTTTTAGTTCGTAACTTCAGGCATAGGCTTGCTGACACCCTGGTTCACTGGGACTCACCCAAGTGGCAACCACATGTAGCTTGTATGCACTGCAAATGTGGAGACCACGGATATGGCAGGACTTTCTGCGGAGATGCAAATGCAAGTTCACCTCTTTGTAAACCCCAGCTTAGGGGCTAGTAGCTGTGGGTGGGTGGAAAATTTATGCCCCTGTTGGTTTCAGCTCTTTTGCTTTCTGGTCTTGATCTCCAAAGACGAGGCCATGGGGAAACTGACTCACACCATCCAGATTCACGAGGCTAGTGTGTACCAGGACGTTGTCTTTCTTATTTAGAGGCAGTAGCTTCCCTTTCTGTCCATGTAGGTGAGCATTAATACATGGTCCTGCTGTTGCTTAGTCCTTTGGGACTGAGGCTGGGAGGGAAGAGTTCCATTGTCCCTTGTTTGGCTGAAGATTAGATTTTTTTCTCGGAGGATAATGAATGCTTTACTTTGTGACACATTCAGCTGATGCCAGGTCTAAGAAACCAGGTATGTGATGGTTTGATCCTCAGCTAGTTGCCTCATATGCATGATTTTGTGGATCCTACAGCGACTCTTGGAGATGGATATTATCCTCACTTTACATGTGTGCAAAGTGGAGTTCACAGAGGTTAGAAAACTTTCCCAAGGACAGAGCAGTTAGCAGGTATGGTTCTGGGGACCGAGTCATTACATTTCCAGCCTGTTCACTGGGACTGGGAGTCTCGGAAGTAAGTCAGTCCAGCCCATGGCGGGGGTCTTGCTCATTCTCTCCAGCGGCTCTTTTGCGCTTTCTGGTCTCTTCTCATCCCCTCCCCGACAGTCTCAGCAGACATCCTTGCCTTCTGTTTCACAGAAAATGGAAGAATTCTCTCAACTGCTTGCCACCGCACCTCACAACGTAGTGGTGTTAGTATCTTTGCTTGCCCCCATCATTGTGAAAGGCCTGTGCTCTGGACTTATCTACTGTTGATTATCTTGTTTCCTGTATCTTCAGCCTCTCCCTTCCCTTTGTCCTGATGCCTTGCCATCAGCTTTTAAGCATGTTCAAGTCTGTCTCATCTTAAGAAATATATATATATATACACATATATATCGTTGTGTCTATATGTGTGTGTGTGTGTGTATGTATATATCCTTTTAGCTCCATGTCCCTCTGCACAGTCTTAGTCTAGGTACATTGCTGTTATTCCTTCAGTTGCTCTGATAGTAGAACCTGTGCCTTTTAGTAATGGCATATGTTAACAATGTGAAATTGAGTGAAAGATGGTTGATCCTTGATCTCTGACTTTCCCTCCAGGGTGATGTAAGCATAGAGAGATTTCAAGCAGGTTGCAAAGGTTTGGAGCCCTTATGTGTGTCCCAAGAAGTGAACATCTACCTTTGTTATTACAGGGTTTCTTATTCTGCTCTTACTCTTTTATCCTTCCAAGCAAAAATGCCAATGAGTAGAAGAATCAAGACGATGTAGACGTGTAATTACTAGCTTTACTAGCTACACAGCAGGATGTCAAAGATGGAGAGGTTCTCAGTGATGTCAGAGTTCCAGTGTGGACGTAGTACTAGGTGGCTACATGCACTGGCCTTATGCTGAGAGAAACCAGAAGCAGGAGAGAGAAACCGTAATCAGAAGTGGCTCTGACCTGTTCTGGTTTGTTTCGTGTTGGAGGAAGGTCTGGAGAGAACTTGGGGATAGGCTTATGCAGCAAGAAAACTTAACTTATATGTGGTTGGTTGTAGTTGTTTCTAGATCCTTGTTCCCTCATTCCTCCCTGAAACACCTCACTTTTGACATTTGTACCATCAGAGTCAACCACCCACAACCTCTTGTTGTGGCAGCTTTCTCATGAGGACACGGTCGGTTACCCTGCCATGCGTGTTACCTGTGTCAACACACAGGAGATAAAATGGGCCGTACGGTTCTGTTAAGGAGTAAACTGTATTGTGGACTTGCACCTTCTGTTCTGTATATTGATGTAAAATGTATAAGGGACAGTAGTGGTAGTTCCTGTGGGAGCTCGTGGTTGCTCTGTAGTTGGCGTGTAGTTCATGTCCACACGTGTTGCATGTTCTATGAAGAAAGCACTCAGGGACGTGGCGCAGCTAACTCAGGTCCTGTCTCTGTTGCTGAGACTTGTGTTGTTAGAAATAGTGTTCTTCTACTGATGCTCTGAAACAAAGGATGCTTGCGCGGAGTACGGATCTTCATCCACAGTTTGAGTGTTTCTCTCTTCCTTCATTTTAAGGAAAGTTTCCTCTCGTCGGCTTTCTATGTGTGCTTTAGTGAGCATCTCCAATGTTCTGGAAACTGGACAATGACCTCCTTACATGAAGTTTTACCGTTCGCAGAGGAGATATTTTGGCAGGTACTGGTGACAAATGTGTGCCTTCAGTGAAACAACTACCCCTGGTACTTTAAAACCAGAGGACTCTATGGGCAAGGAAGAGGGTCTTTTCCATAACTCTGTTAGCAGCAGAAATTGTCTGAAAGATGTCTCCCATAATTAACTTCAGGTCTTCCAACTTTTTTTTTTCGGTTACCTGGAACATAAAAAAAAATTGGATTGGGGCTCAGCTGCCCCTGAACTGAGATTTGTTTTGGAACGCCTGGGAAATGAGGCAGCAGAAGTGGCTGTCCCTTGATGCCGTAGCAGGGATGAGTCCAGTACACAGCTTCAGGACTGCGTCACACGTTGGAAAGATCATTTAGCATGCCTAAAAGGTTATAATTTCCATTAGCAGTAATAATATCTAACATGGTAAACCCCACAGCTGTTTGTGTGTGTGTGTTTCTCTTTGATCCTCACACACAAAAGGTGGTAGATGGCGTTCGAGGAAGCAGGTCTCCCCGAGGCATAATGTGGCTGAAGTCACAGCAGAGGAGTTGTGCCTACAAACTGTTTTTCCTCTAATAGATGTTGGACTACTTTTCACCTCCCTTTGAAATTTAGTTTGGAGTTATTTGGACAGAGTTAAGATGAAAAGGTCATTGAAAGAGGAGTGGGAGACCTGGTTCTGTGCTGAGCTCTGCGTTTGTCAGCTCTGTGACCACCCGTGGCTCTTCCCCTTTCCCATGATCAAATACATTTCAGAAACTCGCTTAGACAAAGTTGGACAGGCTTCCTTGAGCTTTTCTGAGTCTTTAATATGTACGTGTGTTGTGAGCCTCTGCCCTCCTCCCCCAGGGCCGGCCTAATTTTCCAGTTATTTGATCACATACTCTTATTTTTTATTTTGCATATTTTTAGGTGGAAACACTTGATATATAACTAGCTTTCTGTTCCCTTCTAGATCTGAACCTGCTGTCCCTGAATGAATTTCAAGAGGTCTGAAGTGGATGCATAATTGGGTGGTGTAGATAGATAGATATGGGTGGATGGATGTTTGCTTTTCTGGGTGTTCTCTAAAAAGTCTGTAACCCAATACGAGACAAGAGCACTGTTGTATAGGAAGCCCGAGGTTTCTGTATGAGAGTGTCTTCAGACTCTGTGAAGACAGCAGACCCAGCCTCGGAAACTTCTGCATCAGGTCCAGGTATTGTCATGGTAGGAAGGTGCTTGTTGTTCTCCTGCTCTAGAGCCTGGGGTTTGGCCGGATGAACATGCAGGTGTCGTTTCCCCAGCTGCAGAGCTGGGGAAGGAGTCTCAGCCCCTTCTAGGCAGCAGGTGAGTTCCTTAGACCTGGCGTGTCCTGGCCTACTGCTCATGCTGTGGCGTTGCGTGAGTCTCTCCTTTTGACAGACATGCTAGTTTACCTGTGAACTGAAGGGTGTAGGCTAAGACATGCCAAGTGGTGTCAAGAGCCTCACAGCTTGTGTTTTCTGTGATGGGAGCTGATGGGGCCTGAACGTGCTGCAGCTGCTGACTTTCCTCTGGCTTGTTTGATGAGGCCCTGGTGCTGATCAGAGGGTGGCTGGGAGAGTGGTGCCCTAAGACCTGATGGTGGCAGGCTCTGTTCAGGTGCAGTGCTGTTGTTCCAGACCCCTGGCTCCTGGACTGACTGGATTTTCCTCTCAGGTATCCTCAGTCTCCTCTGGTTGCAGCCTGGAACTGCTGGGTGCCACAGAGCCAGGTTCCTATAAGGCGGTTTGCATGGAAAGACCAGGGCACCAGGAGGATGGTATTTAAGAAGGCAGCCTGTTGCTGATTGATGGCAGTCTCTCCGAGCCCTAGTGCACTTCAGGATCCATAGCCAGTGTCGGAAACACTACCAGGGGCATCTCAGCGTGTGAGACGAGGCCTCTGCCTCTTGAGGGTCATGTGAAGGTGTCTTTGCAGTCAGAGGGTTTGAACCTGAGCTGTGCCGTTTGAACCGTTTGTTCTTAGGCAGTTTTCCTCAGAGTTGGGCTCTCACTGGATTTCTTGGAGAAAGGCGTTTAGCTTTTCTGTGCCCTGGTTTCCTGCTCTGTGAAATCAGGCCAGTAGAAGCAAGTACCGCAGAGGGTGGTTGTGAGTAGACACTGGATAATGTCTGTGAAATACCTGGAGCCGTGCCCGGCACAGAGAGACGGTCCACAGATGTGGGCTTTGGCTGCGGCTGCTGTGTTGTTGCTGTTTCATCATTGTCAGTGTCACCTGGGGCAGAAGTCACGTGGTCAAGGTGTTAAGGTTACACGGGGGAAAATCCTTTAAATGGCCTATAAATTATAATATTCAGCCCTTTAGCGGTTCTGGAGCACATGGAAGTTGAAAAACACTGAGCTGAGAGGAGGCACTGAGTAAAGTATATATGTAGGTGTTTGAGCATTCAAATAATTGCCTTTGGCAGAATTCTATCAGATTTAGCAGTAAAAGAGGAATAAGTGTATAGAATTCTAATGAATTTGTTTTGTTCTGCTGCTTTTCTTAATAATGTTTTAATGGGAAGCCTCTGTCACCTAGCGTGGCCCTTGTTCTGGTTTGTCTGGGACCAACTTAGGAGTTAGTGGGATGGGGGAACTGACTGGGGTGAGGTGGCATGTGAGACTTGGCGCTGAAACTGAACAAGTCAGCCTGAGTTGTCACCCTCCTGTGATTCGAGTGCTCTTGTTTGTTGTGTGGGGATTAAAGGAGGTGATGCATGTGAGAGCACAGAGGTCACTGCTGGGTGCACAGTAGCTGCTCCTTAATCGCGTGGATCGAGTGTGATGGCGACTGAGCACTCACAGCGCCCTGCGGAACTGTGGGGAGCGTGGCCGGCCTCTCTGTGTCTCTCTGCACCGGCCCGTCCTGCGCTGGCCCCTTGGAGCAGCTCTCTCAGCGCTGGCTTTTCTTGGTCTCAACTGCTGACCTGTGAAGTGAGTGCAGTAACGTGTGTCTCCCAGGGTCTTGTCAGGGTTCATGACATGCAGCCAGCCTGGCGCCTGGCCGGCGGCAGCCCTTCTTCTGTGGTGGTGACTGTCAGAGTGATAACGTCCTGCAGCCTTCATACAGTTGCTCTTTGGTTCAACAGTTCTGTCCACGGGAGTCCTGACTCAGAACCATAGCTGCTGACCGGGTTTTCAGCTCCTGACGCTCTCGTCACTGCCTTATCAGAAGCGTCCTGTTCCAGAATGCCGAGGAGGCCTGCATTCACCCGTGTGACTGACGGGCCTGTTCTCACTTCACACAGGTCGCGAGGAGTACCTCATCAACCTGATCGACTCCCCGGGGCATGTGGACTTCTCCTCGGAGGTCTCCACAGCCGTGCGCATCTGCGATGGGTGCCTCATCGTGGTGGACGCAGTGGAGGGAGTCTGCCCGCAGGTAGTGGACTGTCCTGTGAACCTGCTCACCTGGGCAGCAAGGGGGAGGAGGGACTGACGCGGGTCGCTGTGTGCCGTGTCAGCTGGCACATTTCACACTCGGCAGTGTGTGTGGGGGGGTTAATCCCCTGAGTTTTGAAGGGACCTCAGAGAGGACGCCTTTAAATTTAGACGCTCTGGAGTGTCTGTGACATCCTTTTAGAGAGGGACTCAGCAAGAATGGAGGAAAGGGTGAATTTTGGGGGATCTGGAGGTTTTATTCCAGTGGGAAGGTTTCTGAGCTGAGAGATTGTTGACAGCAAGATGCTGAGCTAGTTCTCCTGGGTAAAAGAAGTTCTCTTCTTTGGCTTCTGGTCCACACTTACGCCTCTGCTTGCCTCCGCACACTCCCTCCCTCCCTCCTTCCTTCCTTGACTCTCCCTGGTCCTTGTCTAGTCTTTCTCATCTTTTCCAGAGCTGGAAAAGCCCCTCAGGCCAGAGCGAACATGGGGCCCTGGGACTCGGAGCTCAGAGTGCTCTCTACGTGCAGTTCTTTAATAAGTTTTTTTTGAAACTTTACATTTTATCTTAAAAAAGGTTGTCACCTTTGTATCCTACTTCTTAATTTACCCGTATTTGTTTCAGTGTTTTTAAAACAGAGTAAAAAAAGATTTAAGTTACCCAAATGGAGGAAATGTGGTAATTCTGGGACAGGCTATAATTATCCTGTTGCTGTGTCTGAGTTCCCCTGAGGCACTGGTGCCGACTTGAGGAGCACAGCCACAGCCCGTGTGGTGTCTGGGCGTCCTCATCTGAGGGAGATCAATGCACCTGCCTTCAGAATAGCTGCCTGTTAGCTCTACGAGTTGGGGGTTAGACCAGGGGCATGTGTCCAGGGGACTTGTGGGGAGTGTTCTGTTTTTCACCTGTGTGTTGGGTGTTTATTTTCTAATTATTCATTAAACTCTGTGTGTGTGTGTAATTCCAGCAAAGGTTTTACCATCTTATATACAGTTTTATTTATCCTTCTCAAATAAATTGTGCCGTCCATAAAGGGAAGGCAGCGTCTCATCTGTGGTTCTTTGCTTCGGTGTTACCCACTTCGGGCGGGTCTAGAGAACACCTGTGTCTGGCTGGCGTGATCTGAGTTGTGATAAAGCAGTATGGAAATGAGCTGATTATTAACCAAGATTTCCTAATATGCTTGAATGATGTCAAATCATGAGTTTACATTTTCCTTTCTGTTTTAATTAGACACAGGCAGTTCTGCGACAAGCCTGGCTTGAAAACATCCGTCCAGTTTTAGTGATTAATAAGATAGATCGCCTGATAGTGGAACTGAAATTCACCCCCCAGGAGGCCTATTCTCACCTCAAGAATATCTTAGAACAGGTATTTTATCCTTTACTTTAGTATTTTAAAAATTAGGGCTCAAAGAAGACTTGTAAGGAAGTTGCCGAGTTGACTATGAGGCACAGCTACAGAAAATTCTCTTATTTATGACTTTTCCACTAAAGATTTGTGTGTTGGAGTTATCATGACAACAGAGGTGACAGGACAAGCATCCTCTCGGGAGTCCACTCTGTCTCCTGGAAGCATCCTTTAGTATCAAGCTTGGACAATAGGTTTTCATGTGCTTTTGTTTAAAATCTTGTAGTTTGGTTCCAAAGTGAAGCAATATTGAGAAGCTCTTTGGGTTTTTTTTGTTCTTTTTTTTTTTGGTGAGGGAGATTGGCCCTGAGCTAATATCTGTTGCCAATCTTCCTATTTTTGCTCGAGGAACATTGTTACTGAGCTACCATTTGTGCCAGCCTTCCTCTATTTTGAATGTGGACACTGCCACGGCATGGCTCGATGAGTGGTGCATAGGTCTGTGCCTGGGATCTGAACCCACGCACCCCTGGCCGCAAAACCAGAGTGTATAAACTTAACTGCTACACCACTGGACCAGCCCCTCTTTGGTGTTTTTTATTACTGTCTTTAGATGAAATTTTACCCAAGCATTCATTCATTCATTTATTCAGCAAACATTTACATAGCTATGTTGAATAAATGAATTCTTGGATGGCCATGGTGTGCTAGGGATTGTCACTATGAAGACAGACAGGTCAGAGTCCCTATTTTCAAAGTTCTCACATGTGGTGGGAGAGACAAACAGTTAAAAGAAATATTTGGAGAATGATGAGATAAGTCCTGGCTGTGATTTGAGAGCATAAACAACGGCCACCTCACCCAGACTGGGTCGGGGGGAAGAAAGTTAGGAAAAGCTTCTCAACAGAAGCCTCGAGATGGAGTGAAGCTTGTGTGTGCCAGATGGAGAACTGTGGCAGGGCATTCAAGAGAGAAGGATAAGATGTACAAAGACATAAAAGCAAGAAGAAGAATCATGCAATGTTTCATTCAAAGAACTGCACATTGTTTATTATAGCTGAATTGATCTTGTTAAGCAGTGATGAGAGGGAGAGTAGAAAGGAATATAGGGCTCAGACTGGGGTGAGCCTGTGGCCACGCCTGGAGGTTTGACCTTTCTTCTTCAAGACAGTGGAGCACCACTGAGGAGACCACTTTAAGAATGTTTACTTACTAACGGGAGCAAATGCTGAAGGCAGAGCAGCGGAAAGGAATGCCTCAGTGGACCTAGTTCCTGTGGAGACCCACAGCTATGGGCATAGGGAGAATGCTCCTGCCCTGCAGTGGAAGAAGGGCCGGTGGGTTTGCAGATGTGGGGGCTGAAGTTTGGAAGGGGGGGAACTTGTGGGGTTTCTGAATGGTAGGTTTCATTTTCTCTCTGAGATAGGAAACAAGATGACTTACTTGGGAGTGAGAGTACGTGAGGGTTAGAGGTCAGGAAGAGAGCCTGCAGAGGAGATAAGAAGTTCAGACAGCTGATGTGAGAAATGACGAGGGAGTTGACTAAGGTTACACACCACGGTGGGAGTGGAAAGTGTGAGTTCCTAGTGACATTGGGCCCTGGTACCGAGAAACAAGTTAAAGATAGAAACAAAGATATGAACACTCATGTTTGCGTTGAGTGAATAATCACAAAAATGACTTTTCAGAAGCCTGATAGTTTAGTTTGCTGGGTTTAGAAGGAATGGATTGAGAACATGGAAGTTATTTATCGTTGTAAGTGTCAACTGCATCCATGTGTATTAATCTGAGCCCCAGTTGTGACTGATGACTCTAGGCTTAACCAGGGTTGGACTGTGTGTCTCCTCCCATGGGCATGCAGAGCATCTGAGTGACCTTCTGCCGTTTCACCATCTCTCCTAGATTAACGCACTCACAGGAACTCTTTTTACTTCTAAAGTCCTAGAAGAAAGAGCAGAAAGGGAGGCTGGATCCCAGGCGAATCTAGACCCTGAACAAGGGGAGCAGGTGTATGACTGGAGCGCTGGCCTGGAGGACTCCGATGATTCCCACCTCTACTTCTCTCCAGACCAGGGAAACGTGGTGTTCGCAAGTGCGGTGGATGGCTGGGGCTTCTCGTAAGTCCTTGTGGATCTAATTACATCTCTATGGGTTTTATATACCATTGATCTTTGTAAATTAAGCTTTTTATTTTGAGATCATTGAAGATTCACATTCAGTTGTATGAAAGAATGCAGAGAGTTCTCTTGTACTCTTTACCTGGTATCCCCCCCAAGAGTAACGAGTTGCAAACTAGTACAGGATTGTATTGACGTTAATACAGTCCATCACCACAAAGATCCTTTGCGTTGCTCTCGTTTAGCCACACCTGCTTTCTGCCCCCAACCCCTCCTTAACCCCTGGCAACCACTAACTGTTCTCCATTTCTATACTTTGTTATTTCAAGAATGTTATAGAAATGGAATCAAACAATATGTAACCTTTTCTAGATTGGCTTTTTTCACTCGTTGTAATTCTCTAGAGACTTAATCTAAGCTGTTGGGTGTGTCAATAGTCGGTTCATTTTTATTGCTTAGTATTCTATGGTATGGCTCTATCAGTTTAACTATTCACCCAGAAGGACATCCGGGCTTTTTCCAGTTTTTGGCTGAGTAAAGCTGCTGTAAGCATTTATGTATAGGTTTTTATGTGGACCTAAGTTTTTATTTCTCTGGGACAGATGCCCAGGAGTGCATTTGCTGGGTCATATGGTAGTTGTATGTTTAGTTTTTAAAGAAACTGTCAAACTGTTTTCCAGAGGGGGTGTACCATTTTTCATTTCCGCCAGCAACATGTGAATGATCCACTGTCTCCACGTCTTCACCATCATTTGGTCTTTTGTCACTTTTTTTTTAAAGCCATTCTGATAGCTGTGTATTGATGTGTTGTGATTTTAATTGTCATTTTCCTACTCGTAATATTGTACATCTTTTCTGGTGCTGATTTGTCGTCTGTCTACTCTTTGGGGTGAAATATCTCTTCGTGTCCTTTGCACATTTTCTTTCTTTAGTTGAGGTATAGTTGACATAATATTAAAGTGTATGATATAGTGCTTGATATTTGCATATATTGCAGAATGATCACGAGTCTGGTAGTTACAAAAGATTTTTTTCTTGTAATGAGGAATTTTAAGATGTACTGTCTCAGCAACTTTCAAATATGAATACAGTTTTATTAGCTATAGTCACCACGCTGTACTTGACATCCCCGTGACTTACTGACTTTATAACCAGGAGTTTGCCCCTTTGACCCCTTCACTCTGCCTTTGGCAACCACCCGTTTGTTCTCTGCGTCTATGAGTTGGTGGGGTTTCTTTGTATTTTTTAGATTCCACATGTAAGTGAGACCATACGGTATTTGTCTTTCTCTCTCTGACTTGTCTCACTCTGCATAATGCCTGCCAGGTGCATACATGTTGTCGCAAATGGCAAGGTTTCATTCTTGTTTATGGTGGAGTAGTATTCCATTGTATATATGTATTGCATCTTTATCCGTTGATGGACACTTAGGTTGTTTGCATATCTTGGCTGTTGTGAATATGCTGCAGTGAACGTGGGGGTGCACATATCTTTTCAAATTAGTGTTTTCATTTTCTTCAGATAAATATTCAGAAGGGAAATTCTTGGCCATATAGTAGTTCTGTTTTTTAATTTTTTGAGGAACCTCCATACTGTTTTCCATAGTGGCTTCACCAATTTATATTCCCACCAACAGTGCACAAGGGTTCCCTTTTCTCCACAACCTCAGCAACACTTGTCATCTGCTGTCTTTTTGATAATAGTCATTCTAACGGATGTGAGGTGATATCTCCTTGTGGTTTTGATTTGCACTTCACTGATGATTAGTGATGTTGAACATCTGTTCATGTATCTGTTGGCTGTCTGTATGTCTTTTTTGGAAAAATGTCTATTTAGATTCCTCTGCTCATTTTTTAATCGGATTCTTTGGTTTTTTTTTTTCTTTTTTATTTATTTATTTTTTAAAGATTTTATTTTTTTCCTTTTTCTCCCCAAAGCCCCCCGGTACATAGTTGTGTATTCTTTGTTGTGGGTCCTTCTAGTTGTGGCATGTGGGACGCTGCCTCAGCGTGGTTTGATGAGCAGTGCCATGTCCGCGCCCAGGATTCGAACCAACGAAACACTGGGCTGCCTGCAGCAGAGCGCACGAACTTAACCACTCAGCCACGGGGCCAGCCCCCTCATTGGTTATTTTTTTGCAATTGAGTCCTTATATCTTTTGGATATTAAATCTTTATCAGATAGATGATTTGCAAATATTTTCTCCCATTCAGTAGGTTGCCTTTTCGTTTTGTTGATTCTTTCCTTTGCCCATTTTCTCATTATATTGTTTGTTTTTTTACTGTTGAGTTTTGAGAGTTATTTAAATATTCTCGCTCCTAGTCCTTTGTCTCATGTGCTTTATAAATATTTTCTCCCAGTCTGTAGTTTACTTCTCATCCTCTTAAAAGTGTCTTTCACAGAGGAAGGTTTTTAATTGGGGTGGAAGTCCAGTTTATCAATTTTTCCTTTTTATGAATTATGCTTTTGGAGTCAAATTTAAGAACTCTGCCAGCCCTAGATCCTCAAGATTTTCTCACGCTTTTTGTAAAAGTGTTATAGTTTTACTTTTTACATGTAAGTCTGTGATCCATTTTGAGTTAGTTTTTGTGTCAGATGTGAGATTCTGAGCAGTCTAACATCACTCAGCTGTTGAGTGGCAGCGTTGGTATTAAGTTTACGGTCTGCCTGACACTGAAGTTCCTGCTTTCTTACCATGCTGCTTCTGCGGGTTCTTCCCTGTGCAACATAGGGACCCTCATTTCTGCTCATGGCCCCTCTAGATATGGACACAGGGCTGGAGCCACGGTGATAGCAAATTTTAGAATGTGGTAGGTAATTGATTGCATTTCTTAACTACAAACATCACCAACTTGTGGAATTAGAAAATTCAAATGTAATTGAAGAGTTATTCCTTTGAGAAAAATGTTTTCAGCTTGGATAAACCGTTGTGAGACTATAATGAAATTTGCTTTAGTCATGGGCTTAATCTTGGATATAATTTACAGGGATGATAGAACCAGAAATAATGCACCAGGTGAAAACAGAGCCTATCCATGGAGTGCATGTCAGTGTGACCTGAAAGTGGGGAAGAAGGGAGGGCCGGAAGTTGCCCAGCATGCACAGCTTGGGAGTAGGCTGACCACTCTTGGCTGCTCTTTGTCCTCCTTTGTACAGGAACTTGCTCTTCATCTTCCGTTTTGCCTCGGGCAGTATACTAAGTTATAATACTGTAATTTTTCCGTGTTAGTTTGTAATAAATTATAGATTCCTTAGTCCAGTTAGTTCCTATAAAGATCATACTAGACTTAAATTCAGATAATGGCTGTATAATTAAAATGGAAATTACAACCCTGCTGAAAATCTGCATGTTTCGTATGTGGTTGACGACTTGCCAATATCACCTTTCTGGGACTCAGTTTTCTCTTCTGAAAAAAGACAAATTTGGGCTAAGGTGATTTCTAAGAATTTCTTTGAGCTAAAAGGGACAGTTATTCACTCAGTCACATAACAGGGTTGGACTTGTTGATTTCCTCCTTTGTGAGCATTTTGCTATGAGACATAAGGTGGGCGGCTTCTCCTTTTCTTGTAATGATTTTCATAAATAATTTACTGTTTTTGTGAATTTTAGTCTAAATCTCACGACTGGGAAAAGTTTACTGTGGAGGGAGAAGGAATGGGGAGAGGCTTGCACGGGTGGAATAAGGATGACTTCCGTATCCCTCAAGACTTTGGACACTTTACACACTTTCAGTCAGTGGATGAACTCCCCTGTGTTAGACGAGGCCGTGTTTAGAGATCTGCTAGTGCCCGTTCTCAGCAAGTCCATGTGTTAATTTATGGGGAGTGGTGGTAGAAGTGAAAGCACTGGGGACACTTTCGTGGTAATTTTCCTCTAAAATGTCAGTGAATAGGAAAAGTTGGTGACTTCTTGTATCACAAAAGTGGAGAATGAGCACATTTCAGAATTTGAAGATGGTTCCATAAACTCTCTTACTGTGGGACAGGATTCAGAAGCATGAGTAGTGGCTGAAGCTGGGTCTGCAGCGTCAATCCACCGTGGTAATAGCTGTCAGTCCAGGAGCATCTGCTCTGAAAAAGCAGAAGCACGTTGACTTGGGTAGCGGGCAGCGGGCATCTGGTCCCTGTGTTAGGTAAATAGAACTGAGCCCAACCCTGTAAAACAGGGACAGGAAAGAGAGACAATGCAAAGCCCTTCCTAATAGTTCCATTGTCTTTGGGCACCAGTGTCTTAGAATCTTGCAATTAGCAATCTCTTGGGTATCTTGTATGCAAAACGATATGTGGCCCAATAATTTGGCCAAGTTGTCATTTAGGAGAATAGGCAAAAGACAGATTGGTCGGTAAAGTCTTGGGAAATGTTCCACAAATCTTTTCTGAGAATCTTTTTGAAGTTACTCTGTAGAGGAAATGAATTAAAATAGAATGCAGAGATGGAGGAGTTGTGCTAGAAACTGTCAGTGTTTTAAAATTATAACTAACTAGAGAGAGATAAATGAATAAAAGCACTAAGCAATAATAAAGGGTTGATGTTTAATAAGGAAATTTTATGGTAACTGTGGGATGAAAAAGAATGAAAGGATAAAATGTTGAAAGATTTATGTACCTTTGTGTGTATGCATGTGTAGATAAATGATGGACTGGAAAAGGGTTTGAGGACAGTGGCCTAAGCAAATGGACAAGTTTCTTCCTACGATTTATGATTCTGATACATGTTTTAGAGTATTTGTGAAAATATTTGTTTACCAGTTTTGGAATTAAAAACAGAACATATGTCTGAAACGTTGTTGTAAAAGATAAAATCTAACAATCTGGGTAGCATAAATCAACATTTGAAAAAAATCCTAGGAACATGAGGAGAAATCATACTAGAAATCCACCTGATCAGAATACTTATGCCAGTAAATGTATGAAATCCCCCATTGAGGAGATGAGGTTTTTTAAAAGAAGGAAATTTCATTAAAAAAAAAAGATCCAGGTTTGCTACATAGAATAGATAGACATAAAACATAACGGACAGAGGATAAAGACCAAAACTTGGGCTCAGTATGTCACTCAAATGCAAACAAAAAGTAGGTTTGGCAATATTAGTGACAAAGCAGAGTTTACAGCAAGTGTGTTATGGCATAAGAATCATTTTTATGTGGATAATTGACACATTTCAGTAATGAGGGGTTAACTCGGTGTGTCAACAATTGTAACAGCGAAGTGCATGAGACAGCAGTAGATGTATAAGTAGAAATCAACAGGCATGTGGTTTAGGGGAGGTTTTATCATATCACAGTCAGGTTGTTAACAGGTCAAATAAACAGACACATTAGACATGTGAATAGTATAATAATTAAAGTCAGAATTTGTTTTAAGTGTGAGTGAAGGATATACAAAAATTGGTTCTATATCAGGCAAAACAACATAATGCAAGTTCAAAAAATATGAAAATTTTGAAAGTTTGATGTGTTAATCATTCAGTCATTATCTCCAGTTTTAACCATCTAAGAATGGACCCAGGTTGCCAACACGTGATCAAAGTGTTGCTTTACTCCCTGAGACCCTGGGAGCATCACTGGGGAGCAGGGCTTTCTGGTAGAGCTGCACTGGAGCAGGTACCTGGGCCCTCAGGCCTCAGTGGTTGCCTCCTCGTGGTTCCCTCCTGTGGGTCCTGGAGTGCATCTGCAGAGCTGCATGGAGGAGTGCAGCCTGCCTGGCATAGTCAGGTGTGGACACATGGAAAGCTGCAGGGAGATCTGGGGCTACTGACTTGCATCCTGAAGGAGGGTTTTGTGCCCTGCCCCAGGTGCACTTGACCACAGGAAGCCAGGGAGGAGGCCCTGCGCTTTCCACTGTCCCTAGGGTGGGCAGCAGAGAGCCTGTCTCCTTTCTGTGCTGTGAGCACCGTTCCCCGTGCAGGCAGCGATTGGCCTTCTCACTGTGGAGGAGCGGCCAATGCAGGAGAGACCCAGAGGCTCCTGTCAGCCCTCCGGGTTAGCAAGGCTATAGGTCTGCGGAGGGAGGCAAGAATTTGTGGAGAGAAGAAAGGTTCCCTCCTTCAAAAGACAGAAAAATTATAAATTAATAATATAGTAGTAATATAATGATAGAAACTAAAATTCTAGAAAATTAAAAACTCTACTAAATAAATAACTGTTGGGCCAGATGGGAAATAAAGTTTACAATAGCAAATTACTTTGAAAGTAATAGACCTTTGAGGTCAGCTCCGGAATGTCAGTGGTCTGTAACTGTGTGATTTTAAAGTTTTATTCCTGATTGGGTACTTTGCTCTCCCTTGGTTCTCAGTGAGAGGGGACACTGGATATTTGTCTTTGGCGGTTTCTGTATGGTCTGCTTCTGCTTCTAAGCTACTGCGTGATGCTCTTCACATCTCTGGTTCTGACCGTAATTATTAACTTCACCTCTCCAGCTCATCATTGCTCCCTCCGTGCTCCCATTATCATGAGAGAGTATCAGCCAGTTGGACTTGTTGTAGTGAACCCCTGGGTTCCAGGAGACCACAGTTACTGACTGACATGGAAAGAGTTGTCTAGAGTGTGTTAACTTAGCATTCCTTCTGCAATGGACGAAAGAGCAGGCATCTTTTAAGATGCTGGTACTTTGAGAGTTAGACGCAAACCTTAGATTAGATTTCCCTATAGAGAAGATATTTTTTCTAGGTCCTGTATCCAGACAATGCATATACCATAAACAGCATCCTTATTTGTCAAGTGACTGCTCACAGGGTTGGGGTTTTCAGTGGAGCAGGCCGGGAGCTAATGGGTTTCTCTAAGGGCTGAGGAGAGTTAAGTAAGTGCGTGTATGTTTCCTGTTTAATCCAGAATGTTAACAAGCCTTTTTTGGCAGGTTCTGGCCCTGGAGTTTGTTTTCTTTGTGAGCGACAGGCACCTGTAGCAGTGAAGGGCTGAAGTGAAGTTTGTTGTTGGCATAGTTGTGTTGGGCAACTGGGGCCTGTACTTCCTTGGCCATTGTTCCTCTTCCCTTCCATATATGTGGAGAATTAAGAAAGGGAGCTATAGCATGAATTGCAGTTCACGTGGATGTAGAGAGGGTAGGACAAGAACACGTGCTCTGGAGCCGCATTGTGTGGGTTAGAATCCCAGCTTCACTGCTGCCTGTGTGACAGCCCTGTGGTTCATCACCCTTTTCTGCAAGGTGAGGGAGGTGCTTAGTGCCTCCTCAGGGGACGGCTGAAATGCTCACGTGTGTAATATATTTGAAGCACTTTGAACAGCACCTGGCACAGAAACGCTCAGGTGTTCGATGTGCTCATGCTCACCTTTGTCACTGTCAGTAACATGGACTCTTGCTTTCCTTTTAGAATTGAGCACTTTGCCGACATCTACAGTCAGAAAATTGGCATCAGAAAGGAGGTTCTTTTGAAAACCTTGTGGGGAGATTACTACGTAAATATGAAGGCTAAGAAGATTATGAAGGTTGACCAGGTAATGTGGTGTATTGTTGGTCACATACTTGCCCTGCGAAAACCTGACACCACCTTTAGTAGGTGTCATTCAGCTTTGGTTTATGTGGGTTAGTTCATGAGGGATTTTTTACTGTATGTGTTCGGTTAGAGCTTATGAGTTTTATATTTACGTGTTGCTTGGAGTTCTTTAAATACAGGAAATAAAGAACTTCCTTTTATTTTTTAGAGGAGCCCAAGTCTCAGATCCTGGGCACTTGAAGATGCATATTTTCCATCATACATTCGTGTCCCCTTCCCCACAAAGAGGCATCTCCTTCTGCCATGGCCGTGTGGCCCACACTGTGTGTGTTCCTGATCTCAGCCAAGGCCTCTCACTGAGTCCCAGTCACCGTGCAGTGCTGATGGCGAGGCAGCTGCTCCCTGGGTCCCTTCCCTCTGTGCACAGAGGCGATGCGGGACTACTGAGCCACAGACCTTGAAAGGTGCTTTCCTTGAACCTTATTTTTTATGTGAAATTCAGGATTTTATAAATTTATTCTCATCAAAGAGCATACATATGCCTCTTAGAAAGTACCCATATATATATAAAGCCACAGGAAAGAAAAACATTGGAAGCCAGCACCGCTGATACTGTGGTTTTAACTTCTGTCTTGCTTTTGGACAGAGGCATACATCCCTCAGTTGAGAATTGTACTGTTTATACAACTTACCGGCTTTTTTGCTTGACCTCCTATCGTGAACATGTTCCCATGCCATCAAAAGCGTTTTATAAACTGTCTATTTAAGAAGGAGCCAGTCTGGTGAGATGGGAAGGAGTGTGGCTTGGGGTCTGACTGTCCAACTCGCGGCTCTGGCACTGGTGGCTCTGGGGCCTGGTCTTGTCGTCTCACCTGCAGTGTGGAGAGCGGCCCTTCCCTCGTGGAGCCGGGTGATGCTTGCGTGAAGTAATCCCAGGAGTGCTCTTAGAATAGCTCCTGCACATGAGAAGTGCCCTGTAATTATTTTATTTTCCGAGTGGATCATCACTTATGTAATCATTCTCCTAAGATGGGGGCATACTTTTTATTTCTATTTTTCAAATGTTTTGATATTGTAAATAAAGTTACGATGGGCATCTTTCTGTATAAATTTTTGTCTTCGCAATGACTTTTTTTTAACCAAGCATTCAAAAGTAATGTCTTAATTTCCTAATACCTTGCCAGTAACTCTTCAGAAAGGAGGTATCAATTTGTATTCCGTCTTGTGTGTATGTGAGAGTGTCCATCTCAAGGTGCTCTTGCTATTTTGCATAGTTTGGTGGGAGAAATGGTAGGTTGTTTTGTTGTTTTAATATCCTTGTCCCTGAAGTTGAACATTTTTTATGTCTGAGAACATTCTTTAGAGCGAAGTCTGTGGAAAGGCCTGCACATACAGAATGGAGTTTTAGCGCTGAGCTTGGGTACTGTGTCTTCATTGATGGCAGTGGAGGGACAGCTGCAGTGATATGTCCCCCAGATGCTCTCATTGTTTGTGAAGTCCATGGTTCCCAGAGGAAGGGAACAGCGGGTTATTACTGATTGCGGATTCTTAACTTTTTACACCTGTGGCCCTGGTTTGTTTCCTGGTCAGGGAACCATGCCACTCGTCTGTCGGTTGTCATACTGTGGCAACTGCTGTTGCTGTGATGCTGAAAGCTACGCTTCTGGCATTTCACATACCAGCAGGGTCACCCATGGTGGGCAGGTTTCAGTGGAGCTTCCAGACTAAGACAGACTAGGAAGAAGGACCTGGCCATTCTCTTCCTAAATAATTGGCCTTGAAAACCCTGTGAACAGCAGCAGAGCATTGTCTGATACAGCGCTGGAAGGTGAGAGGATGGCACAAGAGACCAGGCAGGGTTCCGCTCTGCTGTCCATAGGGCGCTGGGAGTCAGAACCACTCGAGGGCACTAACAGCAAAGAACTTTCTTACAACTACTTTCGTTTACTTTACTGTTGAATAAATGTTTCCAAGTAGAAATGAGACATAATAAAACAGGTCAAGAATGAATATATAAGATGTCTATTAAATATTCAAAAATTTAAGCCCATATGTTCTTTTCACAGGCAAAAGGAAAGAAACCTCTATTTGTACAGTTGATCCTGGAAAATATATGGAGTTTGTATGAGGCCGTCTTGAAAAAGTAAGACTTAATGGAATTGTTTATCTTTGGTCATTGTACTTTGCCTCGCTGCCCAGCGTGAGGAGTCATTTCAGAAGCTGAGATGGACTGAGAAAGTGAGCAGAGCCTTCACAGATGAGTTGCTTCAGGCCTTGGACATAGTTTACAGGAGTCTGTGACCCAAGTCAGGCGTGACGGGAGGGACAGAACAGCAGTATTTTATAGGGTGCTGAGGCGGAGAGAGAAAAGGACAGATGGAAACGTTGGACCTTTACTTGTACAAACCCAATTTAAAATAAAATAGTAATTGTAGTAGAAAAGGTGCTTGATATCTTGGATCATTAATGGGGAACTTGGGAAATAACTTGCCTGATAAAGTGGAAAAGAAAGTTTGCTTTAGTAAATTTACTTTTTAAGTTATTCTGGAAGTGGAATAAGGATTTTTTAGCACTTATTTGCAAAACCGCTTTATCAGTTGACCAAGCGTGTTTAAGGATACCGTGGAATGGTGCTTCATGGGAAGTAGTTGTAAAGGGATTCTCATTCTGAGAGTAAAGGTTGAGCAGTCCTCTGCTGTGTCAGGAGCCCTTCCCAGCATTTTTAGTCTTTGTAGAAAAAGTAATTTATTAGGAATAAATATGTCAAATAATGTTGAGTTCCTTTTCCTCACTGCTCCTTCATGTCTTTATGTGATCTTCTCCCCTTATCTTGTGTGTTTACACTAGGGACAAAGAAAAAATTGATAAAATCGTGACTTCTTTAGGATTAAAAATTGGAGCCCGGGAGGCACGGCATTCAGATCCTAAAGTTCAAATCAATGCCATTTGCAGTCAGTGGCTACCCATATCCAAGGCTGTTCTTGGTATCCTTTATTTTAATGGTCTTTTATGGAATCATACATTTGACAAAATGAGAAAAAACAGTGTGTCACTGGCAACTAGGCAATCCTCTGGAAATAACGCATTCTAATCCAGAGCAACTCTTCTGTGGTTGTGTAGTGTTCTACCATGAAACTATGTTTACTACTTTAAAAATGAATATGCCAATACTAATTAGTATTAATACTGATACCAATCTGAATGAAGGTTCTCTTAAAAAGACTGTTTTGTTGTTTAGTAATACATAAAAATAAAAACTTTTGGACTAAGATTTACATGTAAGTAGATAATTTAGATGTTTGTGTTAGATCACTTTTTCATTTTAGTATCATATTTTCTTTAGCTTGTTGGTATTTCCTATCATGTTAGTGATTCCAAAAAGAATTGATTTTAGATGGCTTACGTTAACTAAAGTAATTGTATAGGTGAATGTGTACTATGTTCTTTTCATTGATGTGTGTGTGCCAAGCAGTCCCCAGGTGGTGGGCTGGGGGTGCAGTGTCCTTGGAGTTGACCAGCAGTGGTATCCCAGCCAGAGCTGTGATGGACACATACCCCTATGTGACACTGGCTCTGGTAGGGGACCTTCTTGTATCATAGCTACTGGCTGGTGGTGGTTTTATAACACTTTATATAGACTGAAACTATGAGGACTTCAAGGTCACAGGTAGCTGAGCTCCTGAGCTCTGTTGTCCTCACTTGTTCCGTGGGCTGCAGTATTAGAGCGTCTGTTGTGAGGACCCTTCCTGAGCTATGGACTCCTTGAGACTGTATCCCTGATGTGAGACGAGATGCACAAAGTAATGCTGCCTTAAGCCCAGGCCTTGTATGGACAGACATTGTTACCTCAGTATTTAGTGCATACTGTGAGTCTGGGCCCTGGTGGAGGGCCCAGATGGTGGAGTGTTGAGTCCTTAACCACAGACTTCAGCTATGGTGTGTCAGAAACTTCCTAGTCCCCTTGATATTACAGCTGAGAGAGTGGAGAAACTGATGTGCACAGGATCACAAACGTTTGACTCTCTTCCACCAGAAACTCAGGCACTGAAAGCAGGTGAGGTGAAGATGCACATGGCATGTACCATGGTTTTGATTGTCCTAAAGTCAAGGCTGGTCTAGACCAATTTGCCAAATGCTAGTTTGCTAAATGGCGAGATGGCAATTCCACAAATAAACAGTTTCACAAATGACTATTTCACTGTGGTTTTTTCCCCTAATGTTTCAGTCTTGCTACAGCTGTTTTGCTCTGCCGGTGGGGTAGGAGACGGGAGACTGAGACTCCTCCCTTCTGCCCTGATCGCATGTCATAATCATTCTGTATTCCATCGTCCTAAATAGCCACGACGTGCTCCTGAGCTGCTGCATCACTGCCATTGCTCTGTCCCTAGGGCCTGTAGAAAAGTGGTTCTGGGGGCTGCACTGCTCACTAGAAGCCCCATCCATATACACATTTCTGCATGAGGGGGGAGCCTCCCATTCCAGCTCTGTAAGGTTCCATGAAGTTCACCTGTGTGTACTCATTTCCCCCTGTTCTTTTCGTCCCATTCTATTGAATTTGCAACCCCCAACCCTGAAATCACTCCACTGCTGTTCTCGGGGCTGCTGTTTCCTGTATTAAATCTAACAGCCAGTTCTCAGTCCTCATCTGACCAGATCTGTCACCAGCATTGAACAGTTGGTCACTCCTTTCTCCTTGGGATTCTTTCTTCTCTTCCAGGCTTCCATGGGCTACTCCTTTTCTCCCTGACTCCCTGGCTGTTTACTCTCAATCTCTTTTTCTGGTTCCTCTCCATCTCCCTGGCTTTTTAACTGTAGGGTACTCCAAGCAAGGCTAGGTCTTTGGGCCTTATCTATTTTCTCTCTGCATTCACTCTCCTGGTGATCTCATCCAGTCTCGAGGCTTTACGTGACAACAGTATGCTTGTAATTCCCACATCTATATCTCTAGTGCAGATCTGGCCTCTGAACTCCAGACTCATGTCCAGCTGCACACTCCCTCTCTCCTCTCGGCTGTCTAAGAGGCATCTTAAACTTAACATATCCTAAACTGGGCTTCTTATCTGATCGCCAAACCTGCTTCACCTAATTATTCCCATCTCAGTTATAGGAAGTTCCATCCGTTCATGTGCTCAGTCTAAAAAACCTTGGAGTTGTCCATGACTTTTATATTTAACTCACATCCCTGCATCCAATCCATCGAAATCTGTTTATTCTTCCTTTGAAATATATCCAAAATTCAGCTACTTCCCACCATTTCCACTTCTGCTTCCCTGGGCCAAGCAGCCATAATGTCTCACCTGCGTGTTGTAGTCGCTTGCCAGCTGATGTCCCTCCTTCTGCTCTTGAGTCTCTTCATTGTTTTCTCAACACTGTAGCCAGAGCAATCCTGTTCAGGTGTAAGTCAGGGCATGTCATTCTGTTCCTCAAAACCTTTCAGAGGTTTCCCAGGCAAGACTTCTGATACATGTTTAATTCTTGCTTCCCGGAGTGTTTTCCTTACTGTTGAATTCTTTATGTGTAAATTATTTTGATGTAGGGTGATTTTTTAAAAAAATTACTAACCAGTGGTTTTATACCTTCAGTGTAGGTTAAGAAAAATGTCAATATGTTGATAGGAAATTTAAAATTTATAGATTTAGGGAAAATTGACATCTCTATAGTATTGAATCTTAATTTGTTTCTAAGTTTTTTTTTGTTACTATCATGATAAGATATTTTTGTCCATTTTATTTTCTAACTTGTTATGGAAAAGCTACTGATTTTTATGTATTTTATTAACAAGCTACCTTGTTGACTGTTGACTTTTGGTAACACTTCTCAGTTCTATCCCTTCTCCACTGGAAAAATTTATTAGGCTTGCAATAGGTGGCTAACCCCTTCTCTAGCTGCAGCTGTATACGGGAGTCTCCAGCCCTCCTCCCATCTGGGTAATGTTTCTTTTCTTTCCTTGTTCCTGTCAGTTCTGCTTGCTCTTGCTCTAGTAGTCTCTTCTAGCAATTGTATACTTTTCTAAAGGGAACTTTTATTGTAGTTGTAGAACAGCCTGCTTACGTATTTAGATGATGCTGTATTCTAAATTTCTTGATTGTTTTCCAGAAAAATCTAGTTTTTTAATAATAGGAGAAAATAGTGACAATTTTACTTCCTGTTTGTTTAGCCTTTATGAAATGTGGAAGTGAAGAGACTGCTCCAGTTATTATCTTTGTTTCCAAAATGTTTGCAGTTGATGCTAAGGCTTTGCCTCAGAATAAGCCAAGGTAAGGATGAGGGGAGGTTGGGCTGGGCCAGGGCAATGGTGTGTGCTGGCAGGTCCAGTGGGGGCGTGGGTGGGAGAGTGCAGCGAATGCTTTTCCTCCTCAACCCAGAATGCATGTTGAGCAAACCCCATGGTAACAGAATGTGCGCAGTACTGTGTCTTTCTGTGATGCTCTGAGGGAGATAGGTGTTGAAATTAGCTCTGGGCTGTTGATTTGGAGTGATGTGAATCTGAAGAAGAGTAGTAGTGGTAGTGGCCACAGTGAGCCTCTACTGACGGTGAGGCAAGGCCTCAGCTGAGCCTGCCTGTCCACCTCAGTGGAGACTGCATGTGTGAGCGTCGCTGCTGATCTCTGTGTGTGTTGTTGGGGGTGGGGCAGCTCTGGAAGATGGATTATTTCTCAGGTTTCCAGTGTCTTGGAGAATCTTCTCTACTTCATCTGGGTTTTTCCTATTTATTCCCCTCCCTCCCAGTTCCACTGCCTCCCCCACTAGTTTAGATCCTGATCATTTCTTGTGAGAATTATCGCCCTAGCCTCCTGGCTGGTCCCCTGCCCCAGGCTCCAGCTCCGCCGATCCCTGTGCTGTCTGCCCTTCAGTGCGGTTTGGTGTGTGGAATGAAAGGTTCATGTGATGTGAGTGCTTGGCACTCCTCTTCTGTACTGCCCACCTCTCTGGGCATTCTGTGTAGGAATCCTGCACGTAGCCTGAGAGGAAGAGTGTGAACACTACTTCTTAAGAAGTTCCTGGGACCTCAGGCAGCATCTCAAGTCTTACTCCTCTATCTTGTAAATAATAATGATGATAGCACTAACAATTGGCTGCAGTTTCTTAAGCTCTTATGCTATTCCTGCCTCACCATTGATTATGCCATTTAGATCTAGCAACAGTTCTGCCACAGAAGTATTTAGCATTTCAGCTTTACTTGTGAGGAAATTAAGGAGCCTTAAAAAGATTAAGTAGTGTGCTCAAGGTCACGTAGCTCGGAGGAGGCCCAAACAGTATTTGAATCTAGGTCTGTCCATCTTTAAAGCCTGTGGTCTTCCACTTTACTGTGTGGGATCTGGCCTTAGTCTTCCTAGGTGGTTTTTCAACCTCTACCTCCAAATCCAGGCTGGCGGGCAGCCTTCCAGCCTGCCTCCCTTTTTAGACCCTGGGCATTGCTTTTGCTGTTCTCAGCTGTAATCTGTCAGACATTCTTACTGAATACTTACTTGGTGGTAAGTACTGTTGGGTAACTTTCTGTTAGGGGGTCTTTCAGGCAGTTCCTCTCCTGCCAATCCCTGAGCTTATGTGTTGGTTTTGCTTCCTTCTTGAGAACCAACTTCTTCTAGTAATAAGATGCTGTCTTCAAACAGAAGCCATGTCTCTTGGTCTCTTGCTTCCCATCATCTCAGCTACCTGGTAGTGTGTTACCTGTAGTACCCGCTGCAGCCAGCCTTCCAACCCTTTCTCTGACGTTCTCCAAGCCCACTCTGGGACCAGCTTCACAGAGGCCAGAGCCTGAACATTCTGCTTGGAATCCTGAGGATGGATGTTTTGTGTTCTTGTCTTGTTTCCTTTCCCCTCCAAATTCACCTCCCCAATGTGCCATTTGCATCTCCAGTCAACATTCTCACCTCTGGTCTCCTTCATCTCTACTATTGGTAACTACTGCCACTTCAGGAACTATCATGCATGGTTAGCTCAGCTGCAGCCTAAATAACCCACCACCTGCAACTGTTCCTTGACTAGTGGAGCTCTGTTTTCTTGCAAATAAATGCTGCTTTATTCTCAATAAATACTAGATGTGCAATGGGTACTTCATGTACACCTTTGCTGATTTCTCTTCTGTCTGCTCTGTTTCCCTAGACCACCATTGCCAGGGCCCACAGCAGTGCCTGGCACATAGTAGGTGTTAACTGGATGGATTGGGTACATAGATAGATGGACAGCAAGCCTCTGCACATTTGATGCTAACTTCATGAATAGAAATGCTGATTTATTTCAGATCATGTCACGAACCTCGGCAGAATGAGGATTTAATATATGTGAACAAATATGCTGCTTTCTTAAGCAGAGCTAAAATCAAACCACATTTACTTAATGTGATGATGATTTTATCATCCTTCATTCCTTCCGAACAGGAGACATAGCCTGGTGATAATAAGCATAGAGTTTGCAGTCAGATCTGGATTTGAATTATGCTTCCTCCACTTATTGTCTGTGTGACTTGGGGTCAAATTACTTAAATTTCCTAAGCTTCTGCTTTCTCATCTGTAAAATAGGGGTAATGATAACATCTCCTTCGTTTATTGTTGTGATAAATGTGGGCTGTGATATATGTCAGGAGATCGACACCATGTCTATACGCCAGTGATTAGCCCGTGGGAAGAGACCGTCTCTCTTCAGGTGCTAACAGCTGCCTCAGGTGTCTTTTCCTCTCTGTTCTCATGATAATCTTGTCTTCTGCATTTATATTTTAATTCGCACTCTCCTGATATTCTTATAAAAGACTTTAGTAAAAGTCTAGAAACAAAATAAGTCATGTAAGGATTGATGGAAGGTACTGCTGGAGTGTTTAGCCTAGAGAAGAGTGGCGAGGAGAAGGTGTGAGTGCAGGTGGCAGAGAGGAAAGTGGAGGCAGGAGGGCTTGTTGGATGCTGCTCCAGTGGACAGAACAGCTGTGGCCAGAAGTTACGAGGGAGCAGATTCCATCCTGTACTTGAAAGGCTTTCTAACATTGACTGCTTCCAGTAAAGAGGGCTTATCTCTCGCAGTGGAAGTCGGTGCTTCTGTCCAGTTGGTTTGATGGCCTAGCGACACCTGACCAAGCTGTGCTCGCAGAGTGGTCTCGTATTTTTGTATCCTATGGTGCAGCCCTGTCACCCACTGCGGGTGGGTCTGCATGGAACGGGCCAACTGCTACAGCTGAGCTCATCCATTCTGAGGGGCAGGTTCTAAGGGAGGTAGAAGTAGTGTCCAGTCCTGGTAGGCGGTCTTACCTAGCAGGTAGGTGTCTGAAGAGGACAGCAGTGGACGGTCAGTGAGTAAGCAGTCACCTTCCAAGGTAGCCCACATGGAGTAGTAAAAAGGAGGAAGAGGTTTTTAGGGCACTTGGTGTTGGGAGCTCCAAGAGTATGTGGTCATTTAGAAATGCACATGGACAGTGCATCTTCAGAATGGCCATCTGAAAGGATTCCAGTGTTTAAGGAGAGAGGAGGGGAAAGGGACATGGCAAGGTAGGGGACGAGATTATCAGTCAGGTGTCAAGTCAGAGATCAGAGAGAAAGCTGGAATCATAATGCCAAAGGGAGGGACAGCAGGGGAGGGAGGTGCAAGGTAACATGACTTGTGGAGGAACCTCAGTTTCTTATTGAGGTCTTATGCTTATTTCTCTGCAGCTGTGTCCTGAGCCCTGGTATCTGTTGCTCCTTCCCTTCCCTGTTGTTTGCCTCATCCAGAAGGAATGTGGGTGTCTGAGAAAGGTCCCCTGCTATTGTGATGGCTCTCTGTGGGGACATTGGCCCTTGCATGCCAGTTCATAAGCTCAGAATAGCTGGGGACATGGCGATCTCCAAGAAAGCCTGACAGGCCTTCTCTGCTGTTGCTGCAGCTAGGGAGAGAACTTGGAGAAGCCTTCTGCCTGGGAGGGACCTGGGGCCAGTCTTTATCTTATCCAGCCACACTAGTACTTGCTGTTTCCGTGCTTGAAGGGACTGAGAGATGCTCCATGTCACCAGCTGTTAACATATCTGTGATATATTTAGACCTCTCACTCAAGAAGAAATTGCTCAGAGACGTGAGCGTGCGAGGCAAAGGCATGCAGAGAAGCGCTCAGCCGGGCAGGGGCAGGCGCCCTCAGAGCCCACCCAAGATGGGAGTGCCCTTGAAACAAGTCCAGAGGGAGGAGAACCAAAAGGTATGGCATTCCCAAATAGGCCTTGGTGCCAAATGTTTTTACTTAAGTGGGGACACTCATCCTCTAACTCTTTTTTAGCTTTAATTGGGGCTTTTATCAATCTTCTTTCTTTCCTGGTGTTTCTTTCCTGAAACTGAGCCAAATAGCTCCTATTCGCTGTTCTCTCTGTGTTTCTAGGCAGTTCTGGATTGCAGAGCATTCCTGGCACTCATTATTCTTTTGTTTCTGACAGGTGATGAGCAACAGGTGGAGAGTGTGACCCCTAAGCCTGTGTCCCAGGAAGGAGACAGCCAGGAGTCTTTTGTTGCATTCGCTCGAGTGTTCAGTGGTGTGGCTCGAAGAGGAAAGAAAATTTTTGTCTTGGGGCCCAAATACAGTCCAGTTGAGTTTTTGCAGCGGGTAAGAATTGGAAGTAAACCATTAGTATATTGTTTCAAGGTTCTGGTATCTTTTCAGGTCCACTAAGATTGGTGGTTGCCTTACTGGTAGGTTTATTTTGTCTTGAGAAGGGCACATTCAGATGAATCCATATGTCCCTCTTGGGCAGCATTTGGTGAACTTGTCTCACTTGGCAGCATTTAGAATACTACCCCAGTGTATGAGCCAACTTTCAGGCCTTATTTGATTAATTATAAGGCTTTTCTCTTCAAGGCCAGAGGAAAGGACTGGTAAGAACAGAAGTCATGCTGGAGCCAGGGCAATGGCAAATCTTTAGGAAATATGGAGATCCAAACTCTAGGTGGCACAGGCCAGGGCATGGGCAGCCAGCAGGTGACAGGTGACAACCGCGTGGCAGGGAGAGCCCAGCAACTGGTCAGGAGGGTCTGTGGGCAGGTGAGCAGCCAGCATCTAAATACACCTGAGCCAGAGGGCAAAAAGAAAGTACAGGCTAGAGCTTCTCAGAACATTTTTGGACATTGGAAGGTATGTATGTTGTAATTAGATAATAAGGATCAGAAGATGAGAAGATGCCAGAGGCCCAGGGAGCCAGTCTGGATAAGCAGGACTCAGTAAGAACTTGTCAGGTGTGCAGCGTCACGAGAGAACAGCAGGTACCCGTCTCTGCGCAGGGGAGTCAGGGAGCTGTTGTGCTTGGCTGAAGTGGGAGAGGGAGGTGGCCGCGGAAGGGAGGCCTGCCGTCGGCTTTCCTTGCCTTGAGTGCTCATTCCGTCAGTTTTCGCAGTGTAAGCCTTGGAGCTGACAGTGCTGCGCAGAGCTCGGCCGTCCTTTCTGGCCTGTGGCTGCTCTGCTTCTGCAGGAGGGAGCGCAGCAGTAGCTGTCTCTGGGGTGGTTTTGTTGCCGGGCTGAGGATGCTGTAGTGGCACGTAGAAAACCTGTTTGTGCTAGCTTGACGTTTTGGTTTAGACATAGTGAGTTTGTTATTTATCAGTAAGGCTTGAGTATTGGTTTTTTTCTTTTTTTACTCTTTAAACTGTCAGTTGAGTAAGAAGTTGTAACATAGTGGAACTCTGATTTATTGGGCGTTATGAAGTCCATGAGCACTCCAGTTCATCTTCGGTGCATAGTATACCTTTGCTCTTGTGGGGCTAGAGGTTGAAATCAACTGCTCATGTGTCAGATGACTCGAGGAGTAGTGATAAAATGAATTGACACTACAAATGACTCCTTATTTCCATAATTGGAGCCCCATAAAATCTAACTCCAACCTACTTTTTTAAAAAATGTGAAATATTTCAAACTTACCCCAGAAGTAAACCCTACTGAACTTTTGTGTTTATCCTTTGTATTATTTATCTATTGCTGCATATTACAGATGACCACAAATTTAGCAGCTGAAAACAGTACCCTTTTGTCATCCCACATTTTCTGTCCAGGTACAACCTAGCTGGTCCTGCTTAGGGTCTCCGAGCTGCCACAGACTGTCAGCCAGTTGAGCTCTCGCCTGGAGGCCTCACTGGGGAAGGTCTGCCTCCACATTCCCTTAGGTGCTGGCGGAACTCGTGCCCTGGTCCCTCTAGGCTGGGCACTGCAGGTTCTTGCTGGCCGTGGCTGCCCTCAGCTCCTAAAGGCCGCCTGCAGCATCTTGTCTGGACTTCCCAAGCCTGGCTGCGTACTCCTTCCAACCAGCCAGGAGACTCGGGGCGAATCTGCCAGCAGACGGTCTCGTGATGTTACATAGTCGTAAGGTGGCGCCTGTTGCCTGAGCAGCAGGTCGCGGCCTCTCTCGCACTCGGGGAGGGTCACACAAAGGCCTGAGCACCAGGAGGCAGGGATTGTGGGACCACCATCAGTCTGTCTGCTGCATCCTTCTGCTGCTTTTCTTTATGGTTTTACAACGTGTGTGTGCATTATGAAAGAAGACACAGTTTTTGAACTTCATATAAATGGAATCTTACTGTAGTTATTCTTCTACAACTTGGTTTTTTTACTTAACGTGGTAAGATTAATCTATATTGATGCCTGTTCCTGTAGTTCATTCATTGTTCACTGCTGCATAGTATTCCATTATATAAATAAACATTTTATTTATCCATTTTCCTGTTACTGTATATTTGGGCTGCTTTCGTTTTTTGCTAATCTAAACAGTGCTACCTTGAATATTTTTGTACATATTTCCTTGTGCACATTTGCAAGAAATTCTAGGTAATACAACATGGTGGAATAGAGTATGTATATCTTCCGCTCAATGAGTTAACTCCACATTGCCCTCTGAGGTAGCTCTGGTTTACCCTCCCAGTGGGAGTGTGTCACGGCTCCAATTGTCTGCATCGTGACCAAGATTTGCTCTTGTCAGGCTTTTAATTTTTACCGTTCTGAGGGATACAGTATGGTCTTTTGATGTGGTTTTCCGTATTACTCTTTTAATATGTTTATTGGTCAGTCATGGTTTTTCCTGTGAAGATATGCCTTTGGTTCGTTTGCCTATTTTTCTGTTGTGCTATATATATATTTTTAATGTTGGATTTTAGACATCCTTTGTAAATTTTGGATACTAATTCCTTGTTTGTTTTAAGTTTTGCAAATTCCTTCTCCAATTTTCGAACTTGTCACATTTTCTATTTAGAGTCTTTTAGTGGATGGAAGTTCTTAATTTTAATGTAGCTGAAATTATCAGTCTTTTCCATTATGTGTTTTGCTTTTTGTATCTTATTTAAGAAAATTAAACTTATGACTATGCTGAAGAAAAAATTTTCTGTTTCCTTCTAAAGTTTAATGTTTTGCCTTTCATGTTTGAATGTTTAATTCAGTGTTTGTATATGATATGAAGAAGGGATCCAATTTCATTTTTGTCCCCATACAATTAACCACTTGTTCCAGCACTGTTCATTGAATATTTGTCTCTACCCACTAGTGGGCCTTGCCGGCTGTCGTAGTCACATGTCACTTGTGTACTCGTCTGTCTCTGGACTGCTAGACTGCATTTTTCCTGTTTGTCTATCACTGTCTCTGTTCGGTGCTGTTTTCATTTCCAGTTGTTTTGACGTCTCAAAGGCCAGTCCTTCTAACTTGTTTTTCTTTGTGAGTGTCTTGTTTATTCCTAAGTCTTGACTCTTCCATGCAAAGGTTACAGCCAGTCTGTCAGGTTCCCTGAGAAGCTCTCTGGAGCCCCTGATTACTGTTGCTTTAAATCAGTACATGTGTTTGGCGTAAATCAGCATTTTGCGATATAAAATCTTTCTGTCCATGAATGTATTAGGTGTACATATCCATTTGTTTGGGTTATTTTAAATGTTTTTCACTGAGGTTTTATAATTTTGTCCATAAAGATCTGTAATCACTTTTGTTAGACTTATTCCTAGCTATCTTATATTTTGTTGCTATTTCAAAATTTACTGTTTTAAAAAATAGATATTTTCTCTTGCTGATCTTATAGATCTTGCTGATATATAGGCATACAATTAACTTTTGTATATTGACCTTGTGTCTCGCCACCTTACTAAACTGTCTTACTAATTATAATTTATCTATAATTTAAGTGGATGATCATGGCCTGCAGATAATTCTGTTTCTTCCTATTTAATCCTTCTGTTTTTTATTTCTTTCCACCCTATCTTTAGAGCTACCCTGTAGAACTGTCGTTGAATTAGAACCTGTACATTCAGATGTGGCATGTACCTGAAGGCCTTCATTTTCATGAAGTTTCTGAGTCTACCCTAACATAATAGCGTCTCCCTCCTCTGAGCTTTTATGAATTTACTTGCCCATACTGCTTTTTTGTTACTCACTCTATGTTTGTGATGTTATCCATCTTTGTGTATGTTGTATCTTAACCTTTTTTCTCTTCATAGCACTAGCACAGTGCCTTGGGCCTGTGGGTACCAAAGATAAGTTGGTCGATAGAAGTGCTTTCAGGGTACTTGCCTTATATGGAGGTCACTAAATAATCCAAGACAATATCTCAAGTGCTCTTCAAGATATTGAGTAATTCTTCACAAAACTTGAATAATTTGAGGCAATACCTGCATAAGAATAATATGATGCAGGGGATGCTCGTGAATCTGTTATCCTGTAGTGTGTTTTGCTGTGTGTGTGCTGTGTATTCTCATCAGTGTCCCCAATATTTCACAGTGTGCTCTCTCCAGATTTACCACATAGCATATAATAGCAGTTGCTTGGCCATTTTCTTGGCATTTTTATTAGATCTAACTACTCTTCCACAGTTTTTCATTTTCGTGTGTTATTTAGCACTAGGACCAGCCTTGTTGAATGCTGGAAGGACATTATAATAAGATTAAAATAACTTTAAGTGATAATAGTAATAATGAAATATTTCTCTGTTGAAATAATATCAGTAATCACCAGAACTAGTATATGACTTGGTTCATATGAATACCAGCAAGGGGCTGGGGGATTTTTGTTTATTAGCTAATGTGGCGCTGCCGTATCACAGATAATTGATATTACTTAGCTGTAGGCTTATGAGTATGTGGCATTCTTGGCAATTTCAAATAATTGAGAGATTTCACTATTTCAGATTTTATTCATAAAGTGAGATATTTTTATATTACACTTTCTCAAATTTGCGTGTTCAGGTTTACATGAAATGTGACTGCGTTATATCTTACTTATGAATAAAAATAATTTTATAGCTATTAACTCACACTTTTGTTTAATACTTTTGCCAGGTGCCCTTGGGCTTTGCAGCCCCGCTGGACGACCTGCCCCCGGTCCCCCACCTGGCACGCTGCTCTCTGGATCACCTGTATCTTCTCATGGGAAGGGAGCTGGAAGCTCTCGAGGAAGTCCCTCCGGGAAATGTGCTGGGTATGGCAGTTCTCCGTTCTGTTCTGGGAGCTTACCTATTGCCACACACATTTAGTGACATCTTTGAAGGAAATGACTTTGATGTCTCTTTTAGTTTGATAATTTTTTTCTGATGTCTTTAGACTTTAACTTAGTACATTTGAGTAATTGGCATGGAGATCAATAACTTGCTGTGAATTGTGGCAGTTCTATTTTAAAGAGTACTGCCTAATGTTAGCTCAGTGACAATCTTCCTCAAGCAAAAAGAGGAAGATTAGCAACAGATGTTAGCTGAGGGCCAATCTTCTTCACCAGAAAAAAAAAAAGTACTGCTTAAGTAATCTGTGAATGCTTTATCCTAAGCTGGGATTCCATTTGTTTGGAAGCAAGTCAGTCTTGATGACTATGACGCTACTGGTTCTATCGAATGTTGATTTACTAACAGTAGTTATCAATTTATATCTATAAATGTTATTCCTCATCTCTTTCATGTTTGTTATGTGCTTGGCTTCTGCTCCTTGTGTCCAGAATTCACTTTTTGAGGTCCTTAGTAGAGCCCTAAAGTCTCAGATTAAGGAGTTTCTCTTGGGTCATCACAGGAACTGAGTGTGCCGTGGAATGCTGTATCCCGTGTTCCTGCTGGGTTCTGAGCCCTTAGTCCTTGTCGGCTGTAGAGCTATTTACTGGGCGGTTGCTTGGGCTGAAAATTCTTTTTATGTTTTAGAGAAGTGGTCCAGACTACAGGTCCAGAACAGCTAATGATTTATCGGAGTTTGTGAACTTTAGTCCAAGAAATTTGCCAAAGCACTTTGCCACTCCCTTGCAGAGATACCTTTTTTCCTTTATTTTTAAATTCCTTGTTGGGAAGGGGGGGCATCAAATTAGAATTCCTCGCTTCTCATCAGTGTCACCCATTCTTTTCCATCCCTTTGGGAAATACCTTTGAACTATAACAGTTGGTGTAGCTCCTTGAGCTGCCACAGCCAACAAAATGCTTTATCAGTAAGGACATGGGAGGAAGGATGGAAAACACTTCGTTTTTGTTTGTAAGCCTTCCTGGGGATTACTGTATTGCTGGGAACCACTCCATTTCGTTTCTCAAATGGAAGGTGAGGTGTAGGATTTCCAACACAATATTCAAGTGAAAGAAAAGGTATTTGTTGAGTGAATGATTTTGTAATATCTCCTCCAGTTAAGGCCCAGTGTTTGTGCTTTTTCCCCAGTAGAGGTTGGGAATTTGATGTTTGGTAGTTTCTGGTTCCCCTCGTTCTGTTTCTGGATTTCCCTGTGCTGTCCAAGACTGAGGTTAAGTGGTTAATAAGGAGGGAAACCATCTCTCTTTCATCTGCCTCCCAAGGCAGCCTTGACTCTGCCATCTGCTACAGGAGACCAAGCAAGCTAAAAACTCTTCCTCCTGGAGAAAAGAGATGTACCTCATTTTCTTTTACTGATCTTTTAAAATGGTTGTGGGTGGTGTTAGGAGCTGGGGTGATGGCAAAGGTGACTAAATATTTACCAAATTTAACTATATAAAAATAAGACAGATGGACACACCACTTTGGGACAAGATGGATTGAGGAGAAAAGCTAGATTTAGGGGCCAGCCTGGTGGCGCAGCAGTTAAGTTCGCACATTCCGCTTCTCAGCGGCCCAGGGTTCGCCGGTTCGGATCCCGGGTGCGGACATGGCACCACTTGGCAGAAGCCATGCTGTGGTAGGCATCCCACATATAAAGCAGGGGAAGATGGGCATGGATGTTAGCTCAGGGCCAGTCTTCCTCAATAAAAAGAGGAGGATTGGCTGTAGTTAGCTCAGGGCTGATCTTCCTCCAAAAAAAAAAAAAAGGAAAGAAAAGCTAGATTTATTCCATGTAAGAGTTAGGATTGTATTTAGCTACAGGTAACCAAAATAACCAACTCCATAGTCTTAAACTTCACTCAGTAGGAAGCCTGAGGATAGACAGTTCAGAGCTCGTGTGATGGATTTCTTGTGTCATCGGGGAGCCAGCTTCCTTCTCTCCACTTGTCCACAATCCTCAGCATGTGGCTTTTGTCCCCATGGAACCAAGATGGCTGCTGTATCTCCAGGAATCACATCCACCTTCCTGGCAGGAAGAGGACATGAGGGCCAAAAGCCTTTTCGCAGCACTAATGTTTCTATTTGGGAAGAAATGCCCTCGTAGTGACTTGTGTGTCCATGCTTGGTTTGTAATTTTGTCGTATGGTCACGCCTAGCTGCTCTGGAGCCAGGGACTGAGTATTTTATTCTTCCAGCCTCTGCAGTCAAGGCAAGGAAGGCTGTGAATGGCTTTTGAATAGCCAGTCGGCACTATAAGCTGCCTTCCCACACGTTTGCCTGGTGCTGCCTGAGGCCTTCCATTAAGGTTCTGTTTCTTTACATTAAGGAGGTAGATAGTCCACCAGAAGGATTATGAATGTAATGTTGAAGGAGGGTGAAATCCAGCCAACCACTTTGACTTACCGTTTTTTTTTTTAAAGATTGGCCCTGAGCTAACGTCTGTTGCCAATCTTTTTTTTTTCCCTCCTCCTTCTCTCCAGAGCCCCAGTACATAGTCGTATATCCTAGCTGTGAGTGCCTCTGGTTGTCCTATGTGGGACACCACCTCAGCATGGCCTGACGAGCGGTGCCATGTCCATGCCCAGGATCTGAACCAGTGAAACCCTGGGCCACCAAAGCGGGACATGCAAACTTAACAACTCGGCCATGGGGCCAGCCCCTTGACTTGCCTTTGAATTGAAACATACAGTAATTATTTTCCTTCTGTTAATCCAAATCTATTCATACATGACTAGAAAACATGAGTATACCAAACTTTTGGTCATGGTTTTGCCACTAACCACTTATATGGCCTCACAGCAATTGCATAACCTTTCTGGGCTACAGTTTCCCCAGCTGGTTTGGACTAAAGCAGTGATTACTCACATTTCTTATGGTAAAAATAGAACAGCTCTTTAAATTTTTTTCTAAGAAGACTATTTATGGGTTCCCAGGGCTGCTTTTGTTATGTTTATCATATACTATTATATTTGGCATACGTCCTGAACTTTGAGGACAGAACATTAAATAGCATTGTATGGTGCACATTTTATTGCTTAGATATAAAATATAAACAAAATCGCATTTTGTACATTTTCCTTTATAAAATACAAACAAAACTGAAGTTTAAAATTGCTGTTACAGTGTAGCAGGTTGGCATTTCAGTGAGGATAGAGTGAGGTAGAAGTCCGTAGTGCCCATGCTGCAGAACTCTTCCCTGGATTATGTCAGCATCCCACTGGTTGAAAAAAATCATAAACTAGATTATCTCCAAAATCCCTTTTAGCTTTACTTTTCAGCCTTGTGTTTCTTAGAGAAAAGTCTTATTTCGGTATTTGGGATGTTTCCTTTCCTGTTATTATTGGAGGAAGAGTAAATTTTTGATATGGTTTCTTGGTTGGGTTGGTAACCCATTTGAATGGCTCCATCAGAGCATCTTGAACTAGTTACCAGCCTTAGAGTCAGAATTACCTTTTCAGGCAAGTTTCACTTGTTCATGGATTGAAAACTGGAGCGCGTGTAGCGGTCGCAGCAGCTTCCTCAGCTAGGTGTTTAATAAAAGCGGCTTTCACAGCTCAGAGCAAGTTTAAGGCAGGACAGAGGGGAGGCCAAGGATTCTGGTACCTTAAGACTTGAGAAGCAAACAGCCCAAGAGAAAGCCAGCTGGTAGCCGAGGGGCCTGAGTGCTGGGGCTGCAGCCATTAGGGGGCTGGGTGAGTTGATGGAGACCAGGTATGTCAGCACAGGTTTTTTTTTGTTTTTTTTTTTAAACTTAAAACAGGTTTGTCTTCTCGGTGGGAGTTGAAATGAAAAGAATAAGATAGATGACAGAATTTGATTGAACTAATCTATGTGTCCACTTATCTTTTGCTGTATAATAAACCACCCAAAACCTAGTGGCTTAAAACAAAGACAGCTTTTGTTTTTTCAGGAATCTTCAGTTTGGGCGTGGTTTGGTGGGACAGCTCGTTTCTGTTCTGTAGTGTCACCTGAGGGGCTCAGAGCTGGGTGCTAGAATCAGGGGCTCTTCTCACTCACAGGCCTGGTGGTTCATGCCTCTTGTTGGCTTGGACCTTGCCTGGGATGTCTGGCCTTTCTGTGTGGCTGCTGGGCTCCCTTGCAGCGTGGTGGCTAGGTGCTGCCGGCGAGCATCCCAGCAGGAGGCAGGCAGCTATATCACCTTTTAGGACCTTGCCCCAAAACCTTCAGCCTCTCTGCACTGTGTTCTCTTTATTAGAAGTGAATCACTAAGACTGGCCCACATTCAAAGGGAGGGAAGTAGCTCCACCTTCTGATCGGAGACATGTCAAGAATTTGTGGACATGTCTTAAAACAACCACACCACTAATTGTAGATGATTTCTTGTTTCCTTTTATATTTTAGCAGGTCCATGACAGGACACATATCACGCATTAACACAGTGATGCTTATATTGATTAGGGCAGACCTGTAAACTCCATCTTTTTTACTCTCGTTAACTTAGAGAGTAAGTTGTAAGTCCTATTTAATAAGAAAATAGTAGAGAAGTGATATGACTGATACTCATATGCTTTTCATCAGAAATAGTACTGAGTCAGATTTATCAACTGCAGATGAAAATTTTTGTTGGAGAAGGAAATGAAAACACTATATGGCATTCTTGAACAAGTCTGTGTAGGTAGCAAAGTCTAAAGGAGAGTTCTTTTATCGGCACTGGAAAAATGCGGATTTCACATTTGAACTCAGCTTGGAGGACTTGCACTGACGAGTGTGGAATAGGTTTTGTGGTCTGGAAATAGTTGATTTAAACTTTAAAATCATATAATTTCAACCTCATGTTTGAAAAGTTGGTATAGATGGGACCAGAGAGACCTTACCATGTTGAACACACAGTAGCCTTTTGTTCAATTCCCTACTAAGAATATCTCTAAAAATAAATGTTTGCCACAGGCTCTTTTTAAAATGTGACGGGAAATTAAATTAAAA